AGTTTAAACTGTCGTGTTCAGCTGCAATGTGAAAGTCTGGCCTGGCTCAAACTCAGCTGGGAGTTGTTTAGGGTGTTTCGGAGTGACATACCCAATGTTATTATGGAGCCTCCGGAGTTTGAGCTATGGGATCTTCTGACATGTCATCGCTCCGTGTTTCGGCTGCAAACGAGGTAACCTGGAGGTAACAGGAACAACGTCATGTAGCAACCCCATATCCATGATTGCACTCAGGCTGACGATGCTCCATTCCCGTGGCCTGACCCATCGTGCGTCGACGAGGCTGAACGTGCAAAGGCCTGCGCAACCCTGCCCACTGCACGGGTCGTGCCTTCACCCCCAAAGCTTTCAGCAGCTTGGAAGCCAGCCTGGGAACGGCATGTTTCAGACTCTGTTTTGGCCGACAAGATAGTGTCTGTGCTTCGGGAAGTGGATGAGCATTCAGACATAGAGTGGCGCTTGGCTGCCCGGGCAACTACTGCAGGGGGTATCCTCAGCCACGCAATCCATATCGTGAATCAACTGCTACACCGTCATGCTCCTATGATTTTCAAAATAGGTTTCACCCACAATGCCTGCTGGCGCTGGGAGAATACCATTTATGGTTACAGGTGGCAGCGGGAAAAGTGGGAGAAGATGTGTTTGTTACACATCGCCGAAGAACCTTTCAGCCTGGCAATGCTCGAAGCCGCCCTCATCAATAAATTTCAAAGAGCCTTAGCCGATTTTAGTTATTGTTTTTGAATGACCCCAACCCCTTAAAACTACCGACTCTCCTAGCTACCTTCGCCTATCATCCCTGAGGCACGCCTGGCTGCCGAAATACTCGATCCGGCGGAGATAATGTGAGGACGGATGGGGCCGCCTCGGTGAGTGTGTACATGACATACATTGTGTACAGATCTTTTAAGCACAAGCCTGCTTGATTGATGATTGAACAGGGGCTGTTCTGCAAGGGCGTGTGTCACTTCCAGACACAGCTCGCAGCAACTTAAAGTTTCTCGCCTATGGGGAACGAGCGTCAAAACTGCATGTTCATGTGCTAGTGATCGATCATTGCTGGCAAGGTACTTTTGCATCATGAGCTTTCTATTGTGCAAGCTGAAGTTGTATTGCATTCCCACGAACGACAAACATAAATCTGTTTTGGGCCTTGCCGAGGCCTCTTGCAGCTCGGCCGTGGAGTCGGCCCGGGCTGTGGTCGAAGAAATGCCAGCTGCAGCGACTGCTTCAGTGCGACGTGTTGCTAAGTGCTCCGTACGGGATGCTGAGAGGGACATGCATAGATTGGGGGACAAGTTTCGGTTGAGACTTGGGGTGCGCCTGAGTCGAGTGCCGCTGCTGCAAGAGATGAAGATCGCCATACTATTCATGTCATCCTGGATCAATCTTTTTCTTCAGAAGAACTTATGGTACTTTCTTTGTGGCTTGGACGAAGCGAACGAGGAACGATGTGAGCGACAGCTGGAATTATACTGGGAACGTTTTCGTGGGATTGCTCCGCAGCACCCAGTGTTTCAACGTTCGCCTTCGGACCTTCGCCGGACTTGTCCGGTCCTGGTCCACGGAGACGAGGGCCGGAGTGCCAAAAAAACAGCATTGATGGTGCTTTCTTTTCATGCTGTCCTGGGGCGCGGAAGCTCTCAATCTTCTGAGAAGGGGCCTACCTGTGCCGAGTTCCTGCCACAGGAAATGAACTTTGTTGGCCATACTTTCGCTACACGGTACTTACTTGCCGTATTGCCACGAGCCATGTACGATGATGCCCTTGCAGGGAATTTCCAACGACTTTTGGGACATCTGGTTCCGGATATGCGAAGCCTTTTTGAGGAAGGGCTGCTATCTCCAGTCTACAACAAGAAGTTTTTTGTATGCGTCGTGAACATCATGGGGGATTGGCCTTTCCTGGCCAAGGCTTTCAATTATAATCGGACGTTCGGCAATTCAGCCAAACGTGAATCGTCCAAAAAAGCACCAACAGGGATATGTCATGCTTGTTTGGCCGACAGGCCAGGCTTCCCTTTCGAGGATTTCGAATCCAGTCAGCCTCGATGGCGGCAGACGGTGAACGTTCTACCTGCCTACGACAGAACGCCTGTTTTGATGACGTTGCCACACGATGCGGCTGACCCTTCCGGCTTCGCAGGCCAAGACTACTTTCACGGGTTTCATCTCGGAGCCGGAAAAATCTTTGTCGCATCCGTTCTTGCACTTCTCCAGTACACCTTTGCAGGTGACAGTTTCAAGGTCCGCTTCAAGTCAATGGAAAGTGCATTCTTCGACTGGTGTCAGCGTCATCGTCAGTTTCCTTATATCCGCAAACTGAACCAGGACACGCTGGGTTGGCCTCATGCGACAGAGCCAGCAATGGGCGGGTGGAGCAAAGGTTCCACCACACTATGTTTGCTACGTTGGTTCGTTTGCTTTTGCCACCAGAGCAGAGATACGATCCCAGAGGATTCCTTGTTGTTTCTGGCATGGCAGGCAGCATGGCAAATCAACAAGTTTTTTTCGATGCTGTACCGCGAGAAACTGTGGATCATCGCTTCGAGAGCAAAGGAGATAGCTGCACATGGGCGGGCTTTTCTGAAGTACAACGGCCGCTGCGCCAAGCGCGCTTTCGACGAGAACTTGCCGCTGTTCATGTTTATGCCTAATTTGCACAGACTACATCATTTGATGATGAGGATGGAAGATCAGGCTGAAGTTTCGGCCTTTGTGCAGAACGGCTTGATGTGGTCATGCCAAATCGAGGAGGATTTTATCGGAAGGCCCTCGCGACTGAGCCGGCGAGTTCACCCTCGCCGCGTTATCGAGCGCACATTGCTTCGCAGTCTGACAGCGGCTCATAGGCAGTTTCGAAGTGCGGGGCTTCTCCACGGCAGCTGACTGTGTAAACTCATTTCAGATCATGAGCATCAGAATGTAAAATGAACATACATACTTGTTTTCGTCGACACATAAAGACTTTGCAACTGTTGTGGACAGCTCACGCTCTCACTGCTCAGTGCGCGGCCCAGAATCTCGGATCCCGGCAGCAGGCGCGTCGAGCCACAAAAGTTGTGTGGAGCGAGCTTCTAAACCACCCAATGAGCTCAATTCAGCTCATCCAAGCATTGCAATCCTATGTCGAGCAATACCCCGATGATCCCCGAACTCCCAAACAGACCTATCTTCTTCGAATCAAGCTCCTGATTGCTCAATCTCAGCTGATCCAGCTATAGCACTCCTGCTACAAGCAACACCCCGATCACCCGAAATACAAAACCTAACACCCTGATGATCCCCCAAAACACAAGAACCGCGTTCTTTCTTCAAGAACCTGGTTTTCCCAAACAACCTACCTTTTTAAGGGGTCTGGAGGGTGTAGGTAAGCTTCCTAAACCGTAAACCCTAAACCCCTAAACCCCAAACCCCGAAACCCCAAACCCCTAAACCCCTAAACCCCTAAATCCTTAAACCCTAAACAAGAAGCAATCCCCAACCCATGCTCGCAGCTTTCTAACCATTGCTTAGCAGCTGGCCAACAGCGCTAGATAACCGTCAGCCTGCAGGCAGAGCCGCTAAATGCAGCTACCCTAAGGCTCCATGTACCCTTATAGTATATACTTAGGCCTTAGAGTACCTATATAGGGACACCTTTCAGGCTTAAGTATCTACTATAAAGGTACATGGAGCCTTTGGGCTACTGGGGCTACTACACGGACTACAGTGGTTGTCCTAGTGGGAACGATCCGAAATGCAGCGTAACAAATGCAGACGTAACAAGCACGTACAGGGACTGGGCCACATCACGAGTCGTCCGCCGCTGATTGCCGTGAGGGCGGTCGTTGGCTTCATCACCAAGATGTCTCCGTCAGCAACCGTCACGTCCGTCATGTCCTCTCGGGACGCGTTGTTCACCACTACCACGTCTCTGATCACCAGAGCCAAAGGGTCCAAGTACCAGTATAGTAGATACTTAGTAGGTATTTAGGCCCCAAAGTATATACCATACTAGTACTTGGACCCTTTGAGAGAGAGCACTCTACCGAGCCAAAAGCGATGGCTGACACGACTCCCTGTCGGATCACAGTCCCTGCCACCATTCCAGATCCTATCCCAAAGGGTCCAAGTATCATTATGGTATATACTTATAGGGTATTTTGGGGGTCTAACTATACTAGGATACCCAGTAACCTAGAATAAAAAGGCCTCTCTTTTTGGTATTGGGTAACTTTATAAGGAACCTAGGACTACCAAAAGGGAATAAGGGTACTACTGGGCATCCTAGTATATGCCATAATGGTACTTCGGCCCTTTGGGTATTGCGATGAACTCAACCAACTGATCGATGCTCCGTCCGTTGTTCAAAGCATCGTTGGCGCACTTGGCAGCGGCTTTTCTTACCTTTGGTTACTAGGGAATGGAGGAATCGGGTACAATTAAAACTACTACTACTACTACTACTACTACTACTACTACTACTACTACTACTACTACTACTACTACTACTACTACTACTACTACCATTCTTCCATTCCCTACTAACCGAAGGTAAGTCTTGAAAGCCTGACCATTCTCAAAAACCTAGGCTACAACTGCAGCGGTAGTTCATGCAGCAGCTGCTACCCAGAGCATCAGCAAACGTCGCAGCAGAAGCCGTACCTGGACCCAAAAAGTATGTAGAATAATAGCCTTTTAGGGGATTTGGGCGATTATTTTACCTACTTTGGGGGGTTTAGGTACCAGAAACATCTGCACGAGCAGAAGCCAGAGGAAGGTGCGGCAGCAGTAGCCAGGGCTCATGGCAGAATAACATGCCGATGACAAAAGCGAAACCTGAATGTCGAAAACTCATCGCCTAAAGCCTTACAGAAAAATCGAAAAGCCCAAAGATACCCTAAAGCCCAGACCCTCTGCTAACCCTCACCCTATAGACCCCCTTAACATCCCCTACTTGGAATCTCAAAGCCCTAAACCCTATAAACCCCCCAAGAAACGGAGCGAGCCCTCGTGGCCTTCTGCTGTCACAGGTGAGGCCGCCCTTACGGTCAGAGGCGCTGGGACTTCATGGCTCAGAGCTGTAAGGATTCAGTGTTTATATAGGGTTATAAGGGTTCAGGCTTTAGGCTTACGGTTTAAGTGTTTAGGGTTCAGGCTTTAGGCTTAAGGGTTTAGGGCTTAAGGTTTAGGGTTTACGGTTTAGGCTTAAGGGTTAACTGTTTAGGGTTGTAAGGGTTCAGGCTTTAGGCTTAAGGGTTAAGTGTTTAGCGCTACAAGGGTTCAGGCTTTAGGCTTAAGGGTTAAGTGTTTATATGGGGTTATTAGGGTTCAGGCTTTAGGCTTAAGGGTTAAGTGTTTAGGGTTCAGGCTTTAGGCTTAAGGGTTTAGGGCTTAAGGTTTAGGGTTTACGGTTTAGGCTTAAGGGTTAACTGTTTAGGGTTATAAGGGTTCAGGCTTTAGGCTTAAGGGTTAAGTGTTTAGCGCTACAAGGGTTCAGGCTTTAGGCTTAAGGGTTGAGTGTTTAAGGCTACAAGGGTTCAGGCTGTAGGCTTAAGTGTTAAGTGTTTAGGGTTGTAAGGGTTCAGGCTGTAGGCGTAAGGGTTAACTGTTTAGGGTTATAAGGGTTCAGGCTTTAGGCTTAAGGGTTAAGTGTTTAGCGCTACAAGGGTTCAGGCTTTAGGCTTAAGGGTTTAAGGTTTAGGGTTTAAGGTTTAGGGCTATAGGTTCAGGCTTTACCTATAGTCTCCATTGTATTTCCTGTTTTTGGTTTAACCCAATATTTCTTTAGGACCCTACAAGGTAACCCCAAAAAGGAACTACAATGGATACAATTACCGTAGCCCTGAACAACCTACCTTTTTAGGGTTATTTATCATGATTTTCTTTTATATATATATATATATATATATGGTAACCCCCTATATATGTCCTTCATAAGGTAGCCTATTCCGGGGGTGCAAGCTTCAGGATTTACAGATTAGGGTTTAGGCTGAATGACAGGCTCAGGCTTGAGGGTTCAGGGGTTTTCAGGTTGCGGGATGGTGTAGAGGTTGGTCCAGAGTAAGGAACTTAATGGGTGTGTAAGCTTCAAGGTTACCAGCACCCCCCAAGTGCTTGTTAATAGAGCCCTTATGGTCCTTGAAAGTGGGTATTTAGGGTTTTTCTTGGAGGGTAGTTGGGGGTCTAGGTATACCTTAAACCCTAAACCCCAAACCCTAAACCGGTGGACAGGTTCAGGGTTCCCTAAGGCTTCAGGGTCATACCTTCGGAGATTGCATGACAGGCCAGAACCACTGTTGCCCAACATCGTCTGTTCTGCTGGAATTTTGATGATGAGGCAAACCTCTATGGCAAAGACCTGAACCCCAAACTCCTGAACAGGTGCAAGCAACTGCATATGAACCGATGGAACACCCTAAGGGTCCAGTACCCAAATAGTATATGTATGGTTTGGTCCCAAAGTATCTATGTAGGGGACGACTGTAAGGCGAGCATACTTACCACTTCGGTAATTACATTAACCCCTAGGGATAGTTGTATATCGCAAGTGCAACCAATTTGAGCTGCATGCTTCGCACATAGGAGGTTGCCGTGCATTCTCATAGTCCACATGCTAGCCCAAACATACGACACTCTTTCATCACCCACACACACACACACATACACACAAACCTTCCGTGTAAAGCCAGGCGCCACAATCTAATTAGCATTTCTGGTGGCTTTCCGTGCCAAGAAGCTACCGAAACGACATCACGAAAGGTAAACTTGGTAAACAACGCCGACTGCCTAGTCTAGCTCAGGAATTTAAGACTCGGAGTCCACAACCCGGTTTCAGGTGCAGTTTTCGGATCAATCCCGGATCAAGTTTTCATGTTCTTGATAAAGTTCTACTCACAATGGCTGTGAAGGTTGAGGGCTTGGGATAAGGGAGGCCTCTTCTGTCGCACTTCGTCTGCTTCAAGATCGATGGTGAAGGTCACCTCGATGTGCGAGACTGGCCAAAACCGCAAGATCCCTAAACAACTCAAGGCCCGACACACCCAGAATCCCTAAGCATCTCTACTTGGAGGTTCATGGGTAGTTATAAGTAGGGTTATATGACCCCTAATATGGGTTATATGTATAGTTGCCCTGCTTATAACCCTACTTATAGCTACAAATGAACCTCCAAGTAGGTGTGATGCAAGGCTGGGTGACTCACCAGATCGCTCTCTTGAAGCGACCTCAAGACAGGACGTGCGCACTTTCACATGCGCTTCGCGCGTGCGAGTGTGGAGATTTGGAGATGTGGGTGTGAGGGTACTTAGGGGCTGAGTACCCTATCTGAATGCATTTATCCCATAAAACCGGTTAACCACAAAAAGGAACTACAATGGAGACTATAGGTAAGTTTATAATATAAACCTTAGAAGGGGCCCCCACCCTGAAATAGTGGTATAGTAGCAATATATTAGGGCCTCAATATAATCCTTATAGTCACTTCCACAGGGTGGGTGCCCCTTCCAATATAAACCCCAAAATGTCAAAGGTTACCTCAGCTAGGAAGGGTAGAAGTCAGGGGTCTGGGAGTCGGGAGCTGCGAGTGAGCAAGGAGTATAATAAACCTTAACCTACCAAAACCTACAAAAAAGTAGGGTCCCTATAAATTCCATATTAGGGTTTATAACAAGAACCTACAAAAAGGTGGGGCTTGGTAGGTCAAAATAGGGGCCTTAGTGTTTAGAAGAGGGTTTCGGGGTGCAATAGTCTACAGGTCATTATAATAAGGAGCCCCCCAAAATAGCATTTTTTCGGAAATTATTTCGGCCCCTACAGTAGTTCAGGATGACCGGGGTTGTGGGGTTTCAGGCCCATGGTCCCAAGGGTCCGTACTTTTCGGACTTTGGGCTTACTCTGGCCACCTTAAAGGACCTAGAAGCCCGGAGTACTTAGTGGAGCAGATTCCGAATTTTAAATTTGCCTTTATCGTCTCCATTGTAGTTCCTTTGTTTGGTTAACCAGTTTTATGGTTAGGATCCTAAAATAGAGTTTTTGGTTTACCAACAAAGGAACTACAATGGAGACTATAGGTAGGATCCTTATAACTGGGATCCGTCAGGACCGCCCAACGTACCTCAGCGTTCCCAACCCTAAGGCTCCATGTACCCTTATAGTATATACTTAGGCCTTAAAGGACCTATATAGGGACCCCTAAGTATCTACTATAAAGGTACATGGAGCCTTTGGGCAATAGTGGCTATCTTGGCTTAGTAGAGGGTCTGTGGGCTTCATAGAGTGCAGTCGCGGAAGGGGCCTGGGTGGATCTCCAACATCTTCGACGCCGTCCGGCTGTTAGCAGGTTCGTGACGCTTTGCCGATTAGTGTGCGAAGTTACGCAAAACAAATGTGACCGAGAGTTTTTGGTTTTGCATTCCCAAATGCTTTCGCGATAGCTATGCAATGGCAAGGAGGCTTAACAACAGTTTCAATGGGTTTGGAGGGCACTTTATACCAAAATTGTAATAACATGAAGGGGGCTTGATTATGCTAGTTATTCATTCCTAACCCTATGATTATGCTTGCTATCCAAGCCGAGACCGGCGCCATGCTGCGTCCAAGTCATCTCCTGGCATTCCGGATTGCTTAGCGTTGGCGTTTACTTCGGACAAAACCCCTAAGACTCCAAGTAGCCCAAAGTAGGTAGCATTTATAGACTTTAGACCCCAAAGTAGGTACTATGTGTATACTTGGAGTCTTAGGGTAATACAGGGGCCTTACCTCTCCACAAGGGTCCAAGTACCTAATAATCATATACTCTCCAAAATCCTAACCTACATAACTACTATCCTAAAACCGAGTACCTAATTATTGGGTCCTTTGGACCCTTAGGGTCTGGACTCTACAGGGAACTCCAGAAAGTTGGAATATGGATTAATGGTAGGATCCCCTATAATTTACCATAAAGGGGTTACGATAATGATATTCCAACTTTCTGGCTTCTACTCTAGCAGCTGGCACCGCGCTACGATGATCGGCCTCAAAGTCGACACGATCACCCAGAGACCTCCAGCCCCTTCAATAAGGAACCCTAAGGGTCCATGTGCCCATATAGGGTTCCTTTAAGGGTTTCTATGAGGGTTCTATAAGGGTTCCTATAAGGGTTTAGGGTTTAAGGGTCCATGTACCCACATAGAGATACATGAGCCCCGAAGTACCTATATAGGGACTACATTAAGGCCAATGTATATACTATGGGAGTACATGGACCCTGAGGGGCATATACCTGCGACTACAATAGGATCGCGAATATGTTTTGAGGTAAGTCAAGTACAAAATGGGGAGTACTTTAAGGCTCAAATTTCTACCATACGAGTACAGGGACCCTTAGGGCACAATCAGTGCACAATCCGCGCCCCATGTACATAGATCAGTTCAGCTTCGTCCTCGCATCCGAAAATGCAAGGGGCAAGTTGCCTCTCTGACAAACATGCCCAGACACTCCAACATTGATCAATTAGGGAATGGCTCTCAAGTGTGTGCTGCCCTATAAATCTGTGTTCTTGTGTTGTGTGTGTTTAGTGTAGTTTTCTGGGACCGAGTGCTACTGTCGTAGCCAACGAGGCCCGCTGACGCCAAAAAAGTGTGCTGCCCTATAAATATGACACGAACCTACCAGAAACCTCAAACTCATAAACCCTACCCATCCAAGGGTAAAGGGAGGGACCCTTAATAAGGACCCCTAGGTATGTACCCTTAATATAGCTATTATATACCGTACCCATTATATAGCCCATTATAGGGGTAGGGGTCCCCATTAAGGGTCCCTCCTTTTCCCCTTTGAACCTAGATCCACTGAAACCCTCCACACCCAAGCCCGACAAAACATAATCACAACACCCCTAAACTCAGGGGAGGCCAAAAGGGTGGGTTTAAGATTCTTGGGGTAGGGATTCCTTAATATGAGCCCTATTATGGGAACCCTAATCCCAACTAACCCCCCATAGGCTAAAACCCCTTTTGGCCTCCTATGATACAAACATCTATAAACCCGCATCAGAACACCTTGGAACCAGAGAGTCGCGCCTGTCTGCACGGCGGCACTACTCTCAGTAGCAGTCGCTTGCACGAAGGAGTCTGCCACTGGCGAGCCTGAAGCAGAGTTTGGGTTTTTGTTGGTTTAGGGGGTTTCTGCCTTTTTTATTTAGGGTCTCTAAGAGGTCTCGATTGCTTTGTATTGGAAGAAGTGTCATTCTAATACTTTCTGGTACTCGTGCAACTACGTCCTATTGCAGCTCCTCTGATGCGTGCTATCATTATGAACTGTCTTGTGCGTTTTGGTTTTGAGGAGTCGTGTTTCGGTCTCATGTGTCTGATCCCTTCCCCCTTGCATGTCTGATGCCTCACCCCTTGCATTATCATATCATCCCCGCCTTTGCAAGCCTAATACTAATTTGGATTACGGAAGCGTCAGAAGCAAGAGCACGACCACCAGAAAACCCGGGAGCAAGAGCAGGATCGAGAGAAAACCCTAAAGTCTTAGAAACACCATAGTTGCATTGCAAGAGCTTGTTGTATAGTTGCGTGGCACTACATGGCATCTCAGGAAGTCTATTCCACCGTCTCAGACAAAGTTCGATTCCATCATATTTCATTGCACTACACGTCGCGCAAACTCCACCCTCACGCTCGCACGCACCTGCACGCACACATCAACTAAAAAGACACTGAGCGTGCACGCCAACACCCGAAAATTGGAACCTGAACGACCCGAACCCGAAATCCTGAACTTTAAACCCGAGACACCCTAAAAACGTTACACCCTAAACTCCTAAACCCGAAACCCTCAAACTTTGAGCCCAAAACAACCCGACCCCACAACATAAAAGCCATAGTTACTTAGAATAGGGTTTTGGCAATATAGTAGAGCATTACTCTAGTAGGGAAGACTGAGGAATATCACTTGGCAACTCAGTATCATGTGTAGAAGTAGTTGTCAGGACCCCTACCTAGACCCTCAAAAACCTACCTGTTCAGGAGCCCCGTGTTAAGACTTCCTTTGTCCGGGTAAATCTTCCAAAGACTCCGATATCCCTTAATTTATGCATGTACCTCAGATCACCATTTAAGGTACATTCCTTAATTAAGAAATATGGGAGTTTCCGAAGATAGGGGACCCTAAGACAGTACCCTAAATAGTAGGATCACTATTATAAGGACCCCAAAACAAGGCACCCCCATTGTCGGAAACCCCCATATTGGAGTCTCCGTGCTTCCTGACTCCGACAACCACTGGGGCGGCTCCGTGCCTGGTTCGGTTTGAGCGCTGGTGGCTGTGGTTGGCAGATCTGGCAGCGGCAGGGGCCCTAAGCGTCCATGTACTCATATAGTATATACATTGGCCTGAATGTAGTCCCCATATAGGCTCATGTATCTCTATATGGTTACATGGACCCTTAGGGGGGCACATCGGTGCACAAATGAGTGGGAATGGCGTTTAGGGTTTATGGGGAAGGCCAGGGTGGTTCTGGATTTCGGATTTTGGGGTTCGGAGCGTTTGGGCCTTTTTCGGTTTTGCGGCTGCGGATTGTGAATGGGGGGCCTGCGCAGCTTGGATGGAAAAGACACTTCATGATGAGCCAGAACGAGATTGCGGTGAGCCTGAAGCCTAATAAGTAACTAGAGCCCCCAAGTATTCTGAATAGACAGGCAAAAGCGAATACGTGGAAACAGCCATGAGATCTTGCACTCGAAATCAGGCACATCGACTGGAACATCACCTCACGTCCTATTTCCCCTGAACCGAATTAAAACCCTACCCTAAGGGTCCATGTACTCATATAGTAGATACATTGGCCTATGTAGTCCCTATATAGGTACCTTGGGGCTCATGTATCTCTGTATGGGTACATGGACTCTTAGGGCTATTTCCCCTGAACCGAATTAAAACCCTACAGCGGCAACCGAACCCTGGCCTGCAGCTGTCTGCACGGCGCTTGTGGCCGTTGTTGGCTGCACATCTGTGCATGGTGCACCTGGCGAGGCTTTTGTGCGCCAGCGGTCGTCTTGTGGCCAAGGCATGTGCTGGCACACGTCGATGAGGATGGATGCTTGGTTCGCATGTATGTATGTATCTCGTGTATGTATGTACGCATGCTCACATGTGTGCATATGAAAAAGCACGAAACAACAACTTAAGTGAACGTAAAACACATAGTGCATGCACGTCTGCCCTCATACTTCCAACTTCTCGCAGACTCACGCTGAACACTTGAAGCTGAAACCGAAGCCTGACAACAGAAAAAAAAAAAAAAAAACATCAGCAACCGCTTGATGTGCAAGATAAGCCTGGCGAAGTTTGTGTGCTGCTGCTGGCAGTCGCCGCCGGAGCATCTGCATGCACATGTGGGACGGGGAAGGCTTCAAGCTCGTGGGTTTGGACTCTGACAAGGATGTGGAATCTGACGCGTGTTTGCACATCTTCATGCTTGCAACTCTGGTGAACCTGATGCTCGGAGATGCACACTTATCATTAATAATCCTATGCCCTATGCCGCAGCCGCATCCCGGACACCCTGAATTCTGGATGTTTGAGAAAGTCGGAAATACATGCAGATTGCATTATCAGTATCATGTCTATTATCATGCATGTGTTGGCTTGTTTGCCTGTCTATTTGCATGGCGAGGTTTGCCACTGATGATCCCAGCTCTGCTTGTTTGTGAATGCCACTCTCCTGCGCATGAATGCTGATGGCGTGAGCAGCAGAAACAAAACCTTAAACCAACAACTCCTTCGAAACCCTGATGTGCATCAAAGGCCTGGCGACGTTTGTACACTGCTGCTGGCGGTGGGCGCCGGAGCATCTGCCGCATGGATATGCGCAAAGAGCAAAGATGGATCGATCTGAACATGGTGAAATCACCAGTTCGCGGGTATAGAAAGGGTTGATGGACATATCCAAGACCGCCCCGAGACGGAAACCTTCCACCCGGCCTGGCGAAGTCTGCGTACTGCTGCTGGCAGTGGGTGCCGGAGCATCTGCCGCATGGATATGCGCAAAGAGCAAAGACGGATCGATCTAAACATGGTGAAAGCACCAGTTCGCCGGTATAGAAAGGTTGATGGATATATCCATTGCCGGGTTTTGGACGTGCTGAATCAGCCCAGTTTCCCCAAGACCGACCCGAGACGGAAACCTTCCACCCGGCCTGGCGAACTTTGCGTACTGCTGCTGGCAGTGGGTGCCGGAGCATCTGCATGCACGCATGGGGATGCTGAGTCTTTGATGTGTTGATGCATGTTTAGTACATCCTTTAACTCCTGCGGAACTGCTGCTCGAACATGTCAGCCCCAAACGAACATTCAATCCACGGCTACAGTAAAGTATGCATGTATGCATGTATGTACGTAATTACGTATGTATATATATATACATGTATGCATGGATGTGGGTATGTATGTACTTGTGTATGTATACATGCATGCATGAACGTACGTACGTACGTACGTACGTAAGTACGTAGGTGTGTATGTATGTATACATGCATGTATGTATGTATGCTGGTGTTCAGCTATTTATTCTTTCACGCTCCGCTACTATGTCTTGGACATTGCAAGTGATGAGCTTAGCTCGCCTGTTTGCACATCACTCTCTCGCGCATGAGCCCTGGAGACGCAAGCCGTGGAAAAGATGTCTCCAATCAACCACTTACTCGATACCTTGGTGGGTGTCAAGGCCTGGTGAAGCTTGGACACCGCTGCTGGCCGTGGGCACCGGAGCATCTGCTGTTGGACAGGATGGGTATGCATGTGTATGCACAAAAACCCAGACGGAACGACCTATTTTCTAAACCTATACCGAATTCTTTAGTTGGCCGGTAGAAAGATTAAAAGTTGCTAGATTTGGACGTGCTGAGTTCTGGTGAACGGCTTGAGGCACTTTCAACTCCCCGGAAGCGGATACTGAAATCTTGTAGCCTGAACCCAAACCTTCCACCCGGCCTGGCGACGTCTGCGTACTGCTGCTGGCAGTGGGGGCCAGCGCATCTGCTTGCAAACATGCGGGAGGAAGGCTGTTCATACATACTGCGGTTTTGATATGCTGGGGCGTGCTTGAAAATCCCTACGAACCTGATGGATTGAACTTCAAGCGCTGTCATCCAAGCCGAGACCTTACACCGGACATAATTGGAGGGAGTGCATGTGGGCCTATGTTAACATAAGAAACATGAATATGAGTGTCTGTATATATATATATGTAGTTATACGTATGCAATTGGCAATAGTTGAAGTTGTACATATATCTCATTTAAATGTTAGAGTGTGTAAGCTGTGAATTCAGGTTCCGCTTGTTTGCACTTCCTGGCGCTGCAAACTCTCCTGCACATGAGCGCTGACAACCCGTCAGTAGAACGACATCTCCAACCAAACACCGAATCGAACTTGGACACTGCTGCTGGCGTTTGGCGGAGGAGCATCTGCATGGCAATCAAGAAAAGATGGATCGATCAAAGCCTAATGACACATAATGAAATCGCTATTGCATATCATATCATATCATATATATATATATACATACATATACATATGGGTGGTTGTCAAAATTGTGGTCCCTCTTTTGGTACCATCTATATTAGGCGTGGTTCTATATTGGGGATCCAAAGATTACGGTTGGCAGAGGCACCCGTCGCCGTTTCCAGGATGTGCTGGCTTCATGTCAGCGGCTTGAGAAATGTTCCGATGGTCGGAACCGGATACGAAAAGCCTTCCAGTCGGAACCCGGCCTGGTGACGTCTGTGTACTGCTGCTGGCAGTGGTCGCCGGCGCATCTGCTTGCACACATGCGGGACGAAGGTCGTTCAATCAAACTGGAGATTTTTCATGCTGATGCATGCGCTGCACACCTCCGTCCTGGCGAGTCCTGCGAACCTGACTGCTGGAAGAGCAAACCTAACCGTCATAAGTTCAAAACTTTAACCAATCACCTGGATTTTTTGAAGAGAATCTTGAATTGCGTATCTTTTTGTGTCATCTATCCGTCCATCCGTTCTTTCGTCGCTCTTTCTTCATAGCTTGGGGATCCTAAGTGACCTCAGCTCACACTGTCTGGTCCTGCCAGCTCGTTGGCAAATGAGCGCTGCCGACTTGAGCACAGGAAACGACAGCTCCAACCCAAACACTCAATCGAAATCCCGATGGGCATGAGAGGCCTGGTGAAGTTTGTACGCTGCTGCTGGCGGTGGGCGTCGGAGCATCTGGCGTGGGACAGGACGGGTGTCATGAGCATACGAAGCACAACAACAGATAACCACATAGGCAGACAGATCGATAGACAGATAACCAGACAGATATATCAAGGAATTGACAGATGGATTGATGGATAGATAGTTAGAGATGTGTATAATCCGATAGAAAGTAAAACGAGGCACGTAGCGAGATACGTCGTTACAAAGAAATACACATATATGTCAAATAAAAGGATAGGAACATAGGTAGCTAGGTGGATAGGTAGATAGATAGATCGAAAGTTACATCGAGATAGTACGACAAAAGCTAAACAAGATAGACAGATAGATCGACAGCCAGACAGATAGATGCACAGAATACAGATATAGTGCAGGCAATAGGTACTCTGTAGCTGCAGTAGATACACATGTGCCTTGGCGGGTTGTGGACATGCATCGTTGGATCCCTTTTGTTGCTGAAGCTTCTTGAAAAAAAAACAACACCTCGGGATCCGATGCATGCTGGAAACCTTGAGGCCTAAACCGAAGCCTCGAAACCTTCCCCCCGGCCTGGTGAGGTCTGTGTACTGCTGCTGGCAGTGATCGCCGGCACATCTGATTGCACACACAAGGGATAGGAAGAACGTTCAAACATACTGGGGATTTGACGTGCTGATGCATGCGCTTGACACCTCCGCCCTGGCAACTCCCTGACTTTTGAAGAGTCAAGCCTGGTCACCACAAGGTGAGAACTTCAACCACAAAAAACAGCTTTGTAGCAATAATTCCATGCATGTCTTTGTGTTGTACCCATCCGTCTATCTGTTGCTTCGTTCTTTGTCACTTTGGTTGGGCTTGTACATGGTGCTCAGCAGACACTTTCTGGTACTGCCAGCTCTCGCGCATGAGCACTGCCGACTTCAGCAGAGGAAACGACAGCTCCAACCCAAGCACCCACTCGCAATCTTGATAGGCATGAGAGGCCTGGTGAAGTTTGCACGCTGCTGCTGGCGGTGGGCGCCGGAGCATCTGGCGTGGGACAGGGTGTCATGAGCATACGAAACACGACAACAGATACCCACGTAGGCAGACAGATCGATAGACAGATAAACAAACAGATGGATGGACGGATTGATAGATGGATGGATGGATAGATAGTTTGAGAGGTGTATAGTCCGATAGAAAGTAAAACGACGCACGTAGCGAGATACGTCGTCACAAAGATATAAACATAGATGTAAACAGAAGGATAGGAACAGAGGTAGCTAGGTGGATAGGTAGACAGACAGATCGGCAGATGGATAGGCAAGTAGGTAGATCGCGAGGTAGATAGATAGATCGAAAGTTACATCGAGATAGTACGACAAAAGCTAAATAAGATAGACAGCCAGACAGATAAATGCACAGAATACAGATATAGTGCAGGCAATACGCAATCTGTAGCTGCAGTAGATACACATGTGCCTTGGCGGGTTGTGGACATGCATCGTTGGATCCCTTTTGTTGCTGAAGCTTCTTGAAAAAAAACAACACCTCGGGATCCGATGCATGCTGGAAACCTTGAAGCCTAAACCGAAGCCTCGAAACCTTCCCCCCGGCCTGGTGAGGTCTGTGTACTGCTGCTGGCAGTGATCGCCGGCACATCTGATTACACACAAGGGATAGGAAGAACGCTCAAAAATACTGGGGATTTGACGTGCTGATGCATGCGCTTGACACCTCCGCCCTGGCAACTCCCTGACTTTTGAAGAGTCAAGCCTGGTCACCACAAGGTGAGAACTTCAACCACAAAAACCAGCTTTGTAGCAATAATTCCATGCATGTCTTTGTGTCGTACCATGTCGTACCCATTCGTTGTTTGTCACTTTGGTTGGGCTTGTACATGGTGCTCAGCAGACACTTTCTGGTACTGCCAGCTCTTGCGCATGAGCACTGCCGACTTCAGCAGAGGAAACGACAGCTCCAACCCAAGCACTCACTCGCAATCTTGATAGGCATGAGAGGCCTGGTGAAGTTTGCACGCTGCTGCTGGCGGTGGGCGCCGGAGCGCCTGCTGTGGAACAGGATAGGTCTGTGGGTCATCAAAATATTCGGGAGTTGCCCTGAACCCTAAACCCTTGCCTGATTTGCATGCGGAGTGCACTCGACAGAGCCCTACCCTCTTCTCAGAAAAAAAAACCGTTGCCTGCGGCAGCAACCTTCCAGGCACAGAAGCTCGCCCGTCGCTTCACTCGTGCGCGGCCGCTCGCGAAGGCCTGCAGTTTGTTTGGGTCAAGCGGGCTTTAGGGGATGTCAACACGGCTTCAAATTGAGTTTGATAGGAAATTTGTATTGCGTGTCGCGGAATTTGCTGATGAGGGTTCGTTCGCGGTCTAGAGTTTTAGCAGGGTTGGCCCAGGGTGTATATAGGGAGGGGTGGTTTTGGAAAATGGGGACTGCAGGCTTAGTTGATGACTTTGCTGGGCGCTTTGGCAACAGTCCTAGCCTTGAGCGTCTGAACTTGGGCTTGATGTAGCCCCGATTTCGGAAAAAGGGAAGGGTATGATTAACACATTCCTTTCAGACTGTACGAAAGACAGAGGACGAGCATCTTACTTCCTACGTATAGCCTCCATTGTAGTTCCTTTTTTTGGTTAACCCAAAACTCTAATATAGGACCCTAACCATAAAACTGGTTAACCAAAAAAGGAACTACAATGGAGACTATAGCCCAAAGGGTCCTATGTACTGTTATGGGGAATACTTCCCCGAATCATAATAGTAATTCCTAATATAGACACCCTCCATTCTACTATACCGGTACTTTGGACCCTTTGGGTAGGTATGTGTCGAAGCTAAGATAAAGCTGCTCTGCGAAGACCAAAGTCGGGATTGGCTCTGATGCTTGGACCCAGAGACTCCAATATCCCTTAATTAAGGAATACCTTAACCCTGAAGAACCTACCTTTTAAACTTGCATAAAGGTAGGTTCTTCAGGGTTAAGGTATACCTTAAATTGTTGTAGGATCCCGAATATGATGTAAGGTACATTCCTTAGTTCAGGGATGTTGGAGTCTCTGAGAGTACCACCGAGTGGTCGAGTACCTACCCTAATGCTCCGGGACCCTGGTGTGAGTGAGATCCCGAACTCTAGGCCCCCAAAGCCCAAACCCTTCCCCCAGAAAGCCCATGACCCCTTTAGGAGCATCTCTATTTCAATTCCATTCTAGGTACTCGCTCCTCCAGAGGTTGCGTCAGGAGCCTGATGTTGACAACTTTCTGGCTTCCACCTCACTTAGTTCCTTGCAATGCATCGCTGGGAATGGGAGGATTCCACCCTCCTCCAAATCCTAAACCCCAAATCTCAAGCCTTAAACTGTCCTAAACTAGTTCATGGTTGGGATAGGATTAAAATGTAGATTTTTATTCCGCATTGGGTTATATTGGGTTTAAGTACCCATAAAATGTAAAATGTTGCCCAGCTATGACAAAGTAAACTACAAAATACCCAACAACGTCCTCCAAACAATGACCCTTGAAACCTCTACAGGGGGGCCCTGCCTTTGAAGAATTCCCACAAACATGACCCCAAATGGATTTTCAGAAACCGTTAGGGTTCAGTTTATGCAAGCCGATGTCCCTAAACCCTGAACCCTGAATGGAAGACCCCCGGCGACCGTCATGATCTGAAGACTTGAGAGCCTAGCTCCTACTTACGCCAGCATGTCCTGAACCCTAAACGCCAGGACCGTAAAACTGCAGAAAAGCCTGTGTTCCACATACTACAAAGCGTTCCAACATAAAGTAGTATCATATATATATACACACACACATATAGTTATATATATATATATAGTTATATATATATATATATATATATATACATATATATATATATGTTTCATATATATACATATATATATATATATATATATACACATATGTATGCTCTGCTGACCTGAAATGCGGAATGAACTGGCAGACCTCCACCGTCACTGCCAGAAGGGCTCGGCGTCGGCCAACTGCCATTACCAGCATAGCCCATGCTCGAAATGAACGACCTTCGGCTTCGGGAATTTTAGGGGTCTTGTGGCTTATAGTAATGCTTTTGTCTAGGGCGTTGTGATTTTGCGAATATACTCCTGACCGGCCAAGTGAATTGAAACATCTGGGAGTTTCCGAAAATAGGGGACCCTAACATAGTACCCTAAGTAGTAGGATCCTTACTGTAAGGACGTAGCAGGGTTTGGGGTTGATCTGCATGTTCAGATTCGGGATGGTTATGTTGGGCGGAGACAATGGAGCGACTAAGCTGTGCCGTCAGGCATCCACCTACAGAAACCAAGGTACCGCAAAAAGGTAGGTGTACCGATTTTTTAGGGTCATATACGGTTTTGAAAAGTACATTGGTCACTGTGGGTAGCTGCAGACCTAAACCCCCCACTCACACAGACAGCGTCGCAAGGAATGCTTCCAAACCTACTATAGAATCCATTGTAGTTCCTTTTTTGGGTTAACCCAAAAGCTCTATTATAGGATCCTAACCATAAAACTGGTTAACCAGAAAAAGGAACTACAAAGGAGACTACAGGTATAGTAAGGCTCGGGGAAACTCTGAGCCTTTACACTGTTGAGCGGCTCAGCGGCTGCTCCCTTCGCACACACAAACCCTGTGCCTAGCCGTCGCTCATCCCAGGGCACCCAATGCCCATCTAAGAGCTGGCGCCGCCTCAATTTTTTCATGTCATGTGTGAGGGCCGAGCTTTGGCAACGTGTAGGGCTGTGCGGGATTCGGCTTAGGGTTGGGCTTATAAGTTCGGAGTTGACTAGCTCTGTGTTGGGCATAGATCTTGTTTGGCAAACCTTAGGGGCTACGAACAGTATATTACATACCCCACGTACCCCAGTTTCCCAATATTTACCCTAGGGTCCATCTACCCAAATAGTATATACTTTGGCCCCCCTAAGTACCACTTTAGGGCCGGAGGTTTTTAGGGTTTATCACTGACCTAGTCTTGTACGCTTTGGTTGTGCCACGCTGCTCGTGGCACGTCGTTAAGCTCCTTGAAGTGCCCCGGACAGCCTCCCCCGCCGCCCCCGCCCCCGCAATTTGAGATTGACGCTGCAGCCTCGACTGCATCTGAAACTCTGAATCTCCGGCCAGGTAAAACACAACCCGAAAGCCTGAACGTACCTGAACGCTGACCCAAGCCCTAGACCACAAACTCACTAAACATAGAAGCCTGTATCAACCCGAGACACAGAACCCTACACCTAGAAAACAAACTTGAAGCCCCAAAATCAACACCCGAAGCCCGGTCCAAACCTCAACAGCAAAAAACACCTACTTTCATAGGGCTCCTTGCTATCATTTCCTGGCTTTCATGTCCTCAACATGCTGATTTGATTTTTTTTTGGGGGGGCGTTCAAGTAAACCTAAATATTGACCCTGAGGTATCCCGCCTAAAGCTCTCTGCGCCAGAGCTTTGGCTCCGCCACGCGGTGAAGGTTGCCCGGAGCGCCTTGAAGGTGTGGGGTTTATACAGGGTGGTGCCCCTAACTTATAAGTAAGTTATAAGTAATTTATAAGTCTGATAACATAACTTATAAGTCTTGTAAATTAACTTATAAGTTCATAACTTATAGTAGAAGTTATATCTAAGATATTAAGTTATAACTTAAGTTATCAACTTATAACATAACTTGATAACTTAAGTTATAACTAAGTTATAGAAGTTATTTTTATTTTTTATTCATTTTCAAAATTTGGCGCCCGGTCCAGCAAATCATTATAAATTTGCAACTCGGGCCATGAAAATTTCAAGTTCATATGAAAAATAAGGTTCCCAGCAAATTATAGCAATGACAACATGGGTTCGGATGCGACCTTTTGGATGAAAATATTGAAAAAGGCGATCATGTGTGACGTTGATGGGTTTCGTTAACACGTCACAAAGGCTGGGGACGGTTGCAAACGCAATGCCTCCGAAAGCAGCTTGGGCTCACGCCCGAAGGGCAGGCGACGGGAGCATAGCCTTCCGAGTGAGAAACCGGGCGATGACAACGGCGAAGCGAGGCGTCTTTGCTTCTGCCCACGACTTGGGCGACGGTGGCGGCGCCGGCGGTCGAGCTCGGCGGTATCCCTGCCTCGAGCAGGGTTTCATTGCGTTTGCAGTGTTGGCAGTAAGTCTGCAGGGTTTCAGCACAGTCTTTCCCGTTCCTTTCGGCTCAAAATTCGTAGATTTTGGGTTTTGTAGCTTGACTTGGCAGGCTCCTGCAGCATGGACCTACCTGGTTCGCCGTGTGCCACGGCTGGGTGTGGCTTTCGTGTTTTGCCCGGAAAACACAGACACTGCTGCAGTGAGTGTCGGCACAGCGAAGGGCACAGTCGTCGCTGCTATAGAGCAGCACGACAGCACTTTGCCGCGATTGGATGGAAGCCTTGTGGCACGTTGCACTGCGCAATGAGAGTGTACGATTTTCGCCATGCGCACTGTTGCAGCGCTTGTCGTGAAGGGCAGGGTGTGCACACCAGACGCTGCGAAGCGAATCTGCAAACGCAGTCGGCGGCCACAGTAGCTCGTAGCGGTCCAAGCGACAACGGTCAGCGCACCACCGTCGCGAAGCTTGACTTGGAGACGATGGACTGAAAATCGTTCCCCTGAAAATGGTGCGTGTGTATGCCTGCGTGCAGTTTAATTACATATGTAAGATCACGCTACTAGAGCGAAGTCCAACGAAGGTCTCGCTCATTGGCAGCACCTTGGGCTCAAACCCGAAAGGCCGGCGGTCGGGAGCAATGGTTGCCTAGAGGCGGGGCTACCAAGTTCTACCAAGGGTATGAGTTTTCTGCCTTGGGGTTTAGGAAGTTTAAGTTTAAGGGTGCGTAGTGCGGGGGGCGAGGCGTCTCTTCCTCCGCCACTCGTGGGCGGCGGCGGCGACGCTCGCTTCTGTCTTCGCTGGCAGATCGGCCTTCTCCTCCCTGCGTTGCAGGGCGGCGACGGTCGAGCTGTCCGAAGCCCCAAAGCGGTGCAGCCCTAACTGCCTTTAAGCCCAACCCAAGCTCACAAACTCCAAGCCTTTCCTTTAGCCTTGCTGCAGGTCTCGCACAGCTTCCTCGGCTCCTTCTCGGTCGTCGCAAAGGATGGAAAGGAGCCCGACAGAAAGCCACTCCGAAGCCCAGGCAAAGAGGCGTGACAGGAGTTCGTCGGAGCACGACAACGCCCGTGGGCCGCCCGAAAGGGAGGTGGATGAGGAGGATCGATTGCGCGGGGCGGGGGGAGACGCCACAGAAAAGGAGGAGGAACAGCAGAGCAAGGCAGACAGGAGAGCGGCAAAGAAAGAAAAAAAACGCCACAAGAAGGACAAGGCGGACAAGGCGGAACCGGAGCCGTGCCCGTCTCCTCGAGGCGACGGTGACGGCCACCGTCGCCTCCTTTGGGGGCTGGTGACTTCTGAAGAGTCACACCACTGCACCCAGACCGGGTGGAAGTGGTGTCCTCTGCACGGCAAGCACGGCTGCAAGAAAGGCTTCAACGGCGACCCGTGGGCCGTTGTCCAACACCTTACTGCCAAGCACGGCATCGACGAGAGGGAGGGAAGACAGGTTGCACGTGCACTTTGGGGACTCCACCCGACAAAGGTTGGTGTGCGACTTCGGTCACGGGAGGATGTGGAAGGCGTGCTGGCAGAGCGCGACCGCGACGACCGGAAGCCAGCAGAGCCTGAAGGTCTGCCGCCCAGCAGGCAGCGAGGCAGACAGGACAAGCCAAAGCTGGTGCCGGTCAAGCAAGAGGCAGAAGCGCTTGAGACAAAAGAGGTGCCGGGTCTCCCTGCCAAAGCCCAGAAGTCAGAGGCTGAGCTTGGCAGCGGCGATGCCAGGTTCCAGCTGCTGCGGGATCTGTTTTCCGATGTGGCGGACAGAGTCCTGGGCAGCGGTAGCAGTTCCTCGGTGCTGCCGCGACCATGATGTGTCAATGGCGATGGAGATGGTGCAGAACCCTAAACCCTGAACTCCAATCCCTACACCCAACCTGTAATTATCTATTTGTTTCTATACAAATATAAGTATATATACATATATATATATATATATATATAGACCCAGGGCCAAGAAGCACCACCTCCATCGTCCCGGTCTTTATGTACAATAATCCAGCAGCTCTTCGCGAACTCAGTGAAAACAAAAAGCTAGGTCGTCCCAGTGCTTCGCAGGCATCTGAGCTTGAAGCTACGAGGCTCGGAGTCGCAAAGGCCCGGGCATCGTGAAAGCTAGGCAGAAGGAAGTTGAAATCCTATTTACATGAACAAGCCTAAGCTATAATCTATTGTTGTTACGTGTTGTTGTTTGTTGTTGCGCGGGAGGTCCCGATTCATACGTATCGCGGCCAGGGGTCTCACGACACGTATGTTCCAGCATGATACTTGGCAAAAACCTATCCCGAACGTATGTATCTCCAGCCCCCGGGCCGTGATACATATGTACATTGTATGTCTTCCTTGAGTTCCAAACTTGATGTATCGTGGATGTTGCGTGTTGTCGTTTTTTTTTGTCGCGGGCCAAACCCGTAACGTACGTATCGCGGACCAGGGGCTCGCGATACGTATGTTAGAACATCGTTTCGACAGAAAACCCATCCATAACCTATGTATCGTGACCCCCGGGGCCGCGATACAATTGTATCTTGCAAGTTTCCTCGTGCAAGGTACTCTGCTGCTGTCGTTTGTGTCAAAAAAAATTAGTCTTGCCTGGCTTGCCCTTGCTTCTTCGCTGCTTTTCGTCCTTAAGCATGGCGGTTGCTTTGGCACCTGCAGTGTAGAATGCCTGCCGAAAGGTGTTGACGAAACATAGTGTAAACCAGACAACGGACTTGACTTCTTTGGTTTTCTCATAGCCACGCAGGCGGTCCTTGAAGGCCCCATAGCTGGGGTAGTGCGTAAACCAGTTCTGCTGCATGTCGGCCACCTGGTGATGCCTTGATTGGCGCCATTCCGCAGCAGTTTTGTTCCAGTGTTCCCTCCCCCTCGCTGTTGTCTTAGACAACATGGATCGTGATCGCTCGCGGTCGCCCTCTGCGAGGACGACAGAATGGAGATGGTGCTGGATGCACTCGCTGGACACTCTTGGCCGATCGCATCTCGCTTGAAGCCCGAAACCCTCAACGTAATTACCTTGTTTCCTGAATCCTTCTGAGGATATGGTGGTGGCAATGGTGGCCACACGGCCGCGTTGTTACCAGAGATGTTGATTCTCAAGGAAACATCACGGAGTCGGAACCGCGAGGAACCAAGCGACGCCTGGAAGAGTGATCCGAGTGCTGCTTTTGAAGCGTTTCGATGCTTTTGCCACCATTCACGGTGGACCCGGTGGGACTGCATCAGGAGTGAGTCTGAGTGAATCCTGCCTTGGACACGGCGTTGGAAATGCTTCAGAATTTGCTTTCGCCACTTTAGTGGGACTGCATGATCCGAGCTCTTGTTGGAAAAGAAAGGAGACCTTTGTGTTTGCTGATACTGTTCAGGTTCAGAAATGCGACATGGCTGCGGGTACTCCATACACATGCGGCTGTTTCTTGCGAGTCTGCGTTGACAGCTTCTGGTTCAAGCTTGCAGTTATGATTAAGAGCACAGGTCATGAGCAAACGTCATATTATGGAGTTATGTACTACAATGCCCTGCTCGGCGCCGCTTTTTCAGGGCGCAGAGACTTGGACGGGCAAGGAGCCGCTGTCTTTCCAGACGCCCTTGGACCTGCAGCATCTCGCGAAGGACGCTGCCTGCGTCGCCAAGAGTTTGCAGGACTTGAAGCGAAAGGCCACCGAGGCCAAAGCTGCAGTCCCGAAAAGGGCTCGCAGGACCAAGTAAAGTGTTTTCCTTGACTGCATGCTTGGCGACCTTCCTCGCCCCATGGAGGTTGGAGCCAGCCGACAGGCCCAATCAAATTTAGTTTTGACGCATACGATTACTGCAAGCACAGGTGTCACTTCGTGCGCAAACACGAGACCCGCTCACAGACCTTTTGCCCGCACGAGTGGAAAAGATTCTTGCTTGAAAGCCAGCAAGGGCAAGCAGCAGATATAAGGGGAGGCGAGAGGCGCAACAGGACTGTCTGGGCTCAAAGCAAACACCGTGCACTCGCGAGATGTCCGACAGGGCAACTTGCATTGCTGTTCTGGAAGCCCTCAAAAATGAAATCGCATGTTTGTCATGCTACCTCAGCGCTGTGCAGCCTTACCTCGACAGGTGCAGTTGCTCGAGTTGAACCGGCCTCCCTCCGAGAATGAAGCATGTCGACACCGTTGCAGGCGAAGTGTGATGGAGAGCAACTGCATGTCCAAGGACTGCAGCTGCGACCTGTCGCCAAGGCCGCTGCTGCCTGTGTGTTGAAAAGTAGTCTACAGCACATGCGAACTGCTTGTTCGCAGGTCACACAAGAAGAAGAACGCCGGGCGCAAGGGCCGTAAGGACTGATCAATTATCCCGGCACGCCTGGTTGCATACATGAGTTATAGGCAGTTGCATTGTTCGCAGGACCGTAAAGCAAGAAAGGCCGCTTCAGATGAGGGTGCACTCATGGCCCAGGCTGTTTCATCCGATCTACACGTATAGATCCGAGATGTAATTCGAACTGCTCTATTAATTAAAATTTAAAACCGCTCAGGATGCGGAGTGCGCCCAAGACCTATTGTGCAAGCATGCCACTCCACTGGGCAATTGCAACGACTCGCGACAAAACAGGTTCACTTCATGCGGTGTAGTTCTGGCTTGGGTGCTGGTTTGTCCCCCCCCCCCACGCAGCCGTTTTGGCTTACAACAAACCGCGACCAGGGGGAAACATTGCTCCTTCCCCTCAGACATGCAGCCACGACGAACCTTGCCAGGGGATGCCAGCAATCCGGCCTCTGTGATTGCTTTTACCGGGACCCTCAAGGCGATTTGCATGTCTGCTTCCAACCTTTGCTTCTGAGTTGGAAAGATGAAGCACATCTCATCTTCAATAAAGATGGCCCAAAGCGCTTCGTTCTCTGGAGCGACCTGTACCAGCCTGCCACGCCAACGTGGCATTGCCGCGAGAATGACAGTTTCCTGTGCATACCCTGACACTGATTCGTGTCATTTAGAAATGAAATCTCACCAAAGACCTGGAAACGCATGCGCAGCGAAGCAAAAGACACTCCGATTTCGTTTTCAAATACTTTTTTGAGTCCAGGAAACTGATACCGAAAACCTTATGAAAATAAACACCCATAAGTTATAACTTAAGTTATAACTTAGTTATAAGTTAAGTTATAAGTTTAACATAACTTAACTTATAACTTGTATAACTTAGTTATAACTATCATAACTTAGTTATAACTTGGGGGCACCACCCTGTAGGGCTTGGGGCTTCTAGGGTTTACGGATTTTGCCCTAAACCCTAAACCCTAAGAGATAAAGGGTTCCAGGTCTAGGGTTCCAGGTTTGGGTACAGGTTTCAGCGTGTAGTGTGTAGGGTTGGTGTATCCGAGAAAGTCGAATCTGCCTTTAAACTGGGGTCTAAACAGATAGAATAGCGCTTCTAGAACAAGTCGATGAGGGCCATGGTTAGAACTGGGGGTACTATGGTATACTGAAAGACTAGATCTAAATAACTTCTTATTTATCTAATCTACCCATCTATCTATGTGTCCATCCATCTGGCTACCTATCCATCAACCTATCCATCTATCCACCTATCTTTCTATCTATCTACAGCACCTAGCACTACCTAAGACCCTAAACCCTAAACCCAAAACCCTAAACACCTAAACCCTAAACCTTGAGCTGCCTAAGACCTTAAACCCTAAACACGAAAGCCTTGAACTTAGAACTGCCTAAACCCTAAACTGCCTAAACCCTAAAGGGAACTCCAGAAAGTTGGAATATGGTTTCAGGGTAGGATACCTTATAATTTATCATAAAGGGCTTAGGATAATCATATTCCAACTTTCTGGCTTTTACTTTAAACCCAGATCTGCCTAAAACCCACGGGGCCGTGGTTTATATCGCTTTCGTGTGCGAGAAAGGCACGGAAGTCGTGGTCTGCCGGAGGATTCGCTGCCTCGGAGTTCCAGAGTTCAGAAATACGTATTTGGTGGTGTACATATCTGCATGCATACATACATACATACATACATACATATATATATATATATATACATACTACCCATCCATATGTGCGTGTGTTGTGTAGTTTATATTTATATATATATATATATATATATATATATGTATATATATATATATATATATATGTATATCTGTATATATATATATATATGTATAACTGCAGCTGCACATGAAACACTATATACATATATGATGTGTCTACACATATACCTATATGATGTGTATGTATAGGACTTTAGCTTTTTAGGGGATTAAGTTTTTAATTTTCAGGTCTCAATCTTCGGGATACGTGAGAAATACCCCCATATTCTCTATGAAGGTCAGCTGGCTGGCCTCGCATCTACCTTTTTCGAAGGGAGCGCTGAGATGCAAACATGTCCCGAGAACTTTATATACACAACCCCACCAAAAGAACCTCGCCATAGCCCGATGAAGCCCTGCAAACTCCATGTAAACCCCAACCTTAAACCCAAAAGACCTAGCTTTTCGATAGGGTTATGTAAGGAACCCATGGCCCAAAGGCCGGTTTTATGGGGTTCAGGTACCTAAACCCTAAACCCTAAGCCCATTGCACATTTCCTCTCTGAGACCAGGAACTCCAGGCAGTGGAGGTGCTTCCACCAAGCTTCCTGGCTCTGCTTGGGTTTCGGAGAGTGGGGTTTTGGGGATTACAGTAGAAGCCGGAAAGTTGGAATATCATTATCGTAGCCCCTTTAAGGTAAATTATAGGGGATCCTACCATCGATCCATATTCCAACTTTCTGGAGTTCCCTTTAATATTAGTAATTTTAGAGTTAAGTCTATTTTTGTAATCTGGAGCATCATTTTGTTTGATAATCAGTTTCTTTATTTCAAATTTATTTCTATGTAAGTTCAGCTCAGGGTCTAGGATTCAAGCTTTAATGAGGGTATTCAAAGTGTTTGAAAGTTGGGGGATTTAAGAGTGAGGATTTATTTCAGTCGTCTGAGTTTCAATTCGACCAGGCACGGTATCATTGACTAGGTTCCTCAGTAACAACCTAATAATTAGGGTACCGTTTTGCCTCATACTCAGCTTGAATATGGAGGCCCCAAACAGCAACGGGCAGAAGGGTACTACTCCTCCAGGGGCCTAGATTTAAAAACCGTGAGGCCGAAGCCACAAAAGCTGCGGCCTGAACCCTCGCAACAAAAAAACTTTGTGCATCAAAAGCCCGTGATTTCCCTTCCCAGAACGCCCCGAAATACCTCTGCTAAGCCCCAAAACTCGGCACTGAAAGACTGCCCTAAGCGTATACGAAAAGATACATGGAGCCCTGGGGTTTGTCTTCGCGTCTCGTCGCAACGCGAATCCGATGGCTCCGAGATCTGAATCTTTGCACTCGAATAGAGGGGCCATGTTCGTCAGAACCAGGGTTTGGGGGTATACCCATGGACCCCATAGTAGTTCCTGTTTGGGGCTCCTGTTTGATGCCTATAAGGTAATCCCAAAAAGGAACTACTATGGGGCCTTTGGGTAGTTTAGTAAATTTCTACCACGGAACCCAAATAAATACTTTTGGGTCATCCGCAACAAGCTTCAACATCGCCTCGACCATGGCTATTGAGTAGGGATTATACCCTAAACCCTCCACCCCTAAACCCTGAACCCTAAACCAAAATCCCCAAACCCTAATCCCTAAACCCTGATCCCTAAACCTTAATCCCAAATCCCCAAACCACAAACCCCAATACCTAAACCCTGATCCCTAAATCCCAAACCCCCCGGAGCCTGACGCCGCGCCCTCACCGAGCCCAACTGCAGCAAGAGATCCTGGCTCAGAACCTGCAGCTCCTGGTCAGAGGAATCTGAATGCAGGTTTCTGGGTGTCTGCGTATATATGTATATATACATACACATATACAAGTTATGCACATATATATGTATATAAGTTTATATATATATATATAGAGAGAGAGAGGGGGAGAGCTTTCCGTGTGTGTGTGTGTGTGTATAATTATATATATATATATATATATATATATATACATATACATATACGTACATATGCATACATCTGTTTAGCTATGTGGTTGTGTATGTAATCCGGTTTGTAGTATGTTAAAGTTTTACTAGGTTCATCATACCATAAGGGCTCAGGTGGGAAACCGTAACCCTGCAACCTAACACCCTATCACCCTAAACCCTGAACTCAACCCTGCAATCTAAAACCCCGCAACCCTTCGCCCCACAGCCAGCCTGAGCATGGCTCTCGACCGGCGTCAGCCCGCTGATCCGCCTCTCTCCTTCTCCGCACACTGCCTGCAAGACTTACCTCTAGTCTCCATTGTTTTAAGGGTTACCATAAGGGTTACTATAAGGTTTCTTTAAGGGTTACTTCTAGGGTATACGGGTTACCTATAGTCTCCATTGTAGTTCCTTGCATGCTTGAACCAGTTTAGTAAGCAGGAATCCTGTAGGGTAGCCCGAAAAGGAACTACAATGGAGACTACCCAGACCTCCAGGAGGATCCAAAAAGTAGATCCCTTAATGGGGGTTCCTATAAAGTACCCTTACTAGTATAGGGCCCCAAATTAGGGGATCTACTTTCTAGATCCTTCCGGGGGTCTGGGTATAAGTAGGGTGCATCTTGCCAAATTAGAACCGTCCCTAAGGATCCACGTATTCATGTAGTATAAGCTTTGGCAAGTTTCGGATGGGAAACAAGCAGCATGCGCAGGTAGGGGTTTTGCAAAGACTTGACGGCCAGAAACACGTGCACAGCATTGGCCCTAAACAAGGCTACTTTAAGGCCAAGATAGATACTGATACTGATTATATTATAGGGGTACATGGACCCTCATGGATCCCACATTGGCGGCCTAAAGCTTGTTAGGGGCCTAGGGTCACAGTGTAAGCCCAACAGTTGGAAACCCAACAGCCTCAAAGGAGTAATGTCTAGGGAATCGCAGCACAACTTGTCATTACTCAGGTTTCCAACTTTTTGGGGTCTACTATGAGTGTGTAGGGGCTTGAGAGTTTGAGTGTTTCAGGTTTGAGGGCTTGTGGGCTTTGGGTTTTCCAGCAGGGCGCAGGACTCGAAATGGGTAGAGTTTGTTGGTACTATAGGGCCTTAATAGAGGTTATATTGTACTATACTTACGACAAGGAACACCAAAAAACCAGCTCCTAATCATTAAGGCCTCTACAGTAGGCTTCACGTTGCGCACAATCAGATTCCTCGTCTGAAGAGTATTATTTCTGTTCTCGGGTCTTTGTGCTGCCATCGCCGATACACGATCCGCGCTTTGCAACCGAGACAGGCAGAAACCACCGTGAACATATGGGTGGTTGTCAAAATTATGGTCCTTTTTGGGGGTCCTTACAATACTACGGCACCTAATATTTAGGGTACCCAAGAAGGGACCATAATTTTGACAGCTACCCATATACAACCAGAAACTACAAGTCTGATGCCCACAGGACTCTATGAACCCTAAACCCTGATACACTCTCAAGGCCTAATTCTATGGGTCTGAATTATTAGAACAAGGTTTTAGGGTCGTGCGACATTTTCCCAACGGGCATTGGTAATCGGTCTGGTCGTCGGGGAATTCGTTCAAAAAACACAATGGCCATCGGTTTTCCGCCTGGAAGAGATCAATCGGGACGCCCGGGTGTCTGGATTTGATATGATGCCTCTTAGACCCAAACGGCACTTGAGCAAGGCATATCGGACAAGGCCACTTCGCGCTGGGCCCCTTCGGGCACTGATCACAGTCCTCGGCACCTTCAAGTTCCTCAAGGTCGGCAATGTCGCTCGCGCTAGAGAAGCCGGAGGGAGCGCAGCAAGCACTACCTAGACTTTTGAAGCCTTTGCCCTTGGTGAGTAGCCTGAGCATTATACCATATTTATACTAAGGACCCCGCAACATAGTAATGGTAATTATTTAGGCCCCTATATTTAGACCCCTTTACAAGAACCCTACTAAACCCTAAACCTTAAACCCTAAAGCCCTAAACCCTAAAACCGTAAACCCTACTAAAAAACCCTAAAACCCCAAACCCTAAAACCGCGAACCCTACTAAAAAACCCTAAAACCCTAAACCCTAAAAACGTAAACCCTACTAAAAAACCCTAAAACCCTAAATACCCCCACCACATCGGCCTTAGTCTCTGCCGGGGCGAGTTCGCTGCTCGGCCGGTCTCCTTCTTCACACTCGGCCTGCACGACGTACCATAAAGGAACCCTTAAAGGAACCCTTATAGGGTTACCATAACGGATACTATAAGATTCCTTTAAGGGTTGCTATAAGGGCTACTAGGCTACTAGAAGGTTTCTCTAAGGGCACGACTCAAGGCGTGGCGTGGGGGAAAGGTCAGAGAAGGGCTTGACGGGCTTCGAGGACTTACGCGTCCGTGAGTAACGACTTAGTGCGCATGAGTAAAAGCAAGGCGTAAAACCCACCAAGTAAAGTTGACGCCAGAGAGTTGGAACTTTACTATCCTCGTGCCCTTGAACTAAACCGAGGGAAACCGAGCAATGATCACCGTGAATCCATGTCCAACTTTCTGGGCTACACTATACTCCTTGTGCCAAGCGATGCCTCGCCAGTCGGTGCATTGCTCTTCGTCGGGGCAAGCTCGCCGCTCAGCCCGTCTCTCTCTCCACACACTACCTGCAAGGAGTCAGGATGTCACAGGCGATACGAGAAGGCACGGTCAAACACAGTAGCAATAATATCTATGGTTGTATGCAAGGAGATAACATCCCAATGTTGCTCATTCAAGTCGCACTTGTAGCCCAAAGAACCAGAATTTATGAGCAGGTACCTCTATAGGAACCGTAGAGAAAATAGCACGTTTCGACACATAGTCTTAACCCTCAAAAGCCTGACTCGCCAGAGCATTGCCGTTCGCCGGGGTGAACTCGCTGCTCACCTCTCCGCAGGGCGCCTGCAAGAGCTGCGGGGGTTGTAACAAAGGGGCCTTAAGAATTCATTAGAATAATGTTCCTTAAAAGGGGTCAATAAGGGTTACTATAGGGGGGTCAATTCTAAGTATATTATGTATTATAGCGGCCTTAATAGTTAGAATAGGGTTCCTTTAAGGGGTCCTTTAAGGGGGTCAAAAGGGATCGATAGTAGGGTTCTACATTAGGGGCCTTAATAATTAGAAGAGGGTTCTTTTTAAGGGCTCCTTTAAGGGATTATAAGGGCTCCATTTACGGATATCGGTGCCTTAATAGTTAGAACGGAGTTCCTTTTAAGGGTTCCTTTTTCAACAGGGTTCTATAAGGAATACTATAAGGGTATAATAGGGGCCGTAATAATTACAATAGGATCTTTGGGGGACCCATTATAGTATAATTGTCGGAAGGAACCCACCAAAATAGTATCGGTAATTTTCGGCCCTGTAGTACTGCAAGCGATACACTAACCACGATATCCACATTCTGACAACAGCTTGTGGGTGCCACCTCTCTTCGTTGGCCGCTCAACCCACTACTTGGTGGTTCATGGGTAGTTAGTTATAAGTGGCTTTATAAGTCCCTCATATGGGTTATAAGTATAGTTACCCTACATATAACCCTACTTATAACCACCCATGAACCTCCAAGTACTTGGCCGCCAATTCTACAAGCCCCCAGCTCTTAAGCCCAGCAAGCCTTCCGAAAGGCCCCCACAAACCCAATATCTAAACCCCTAGCCACACAAAGCCTGAAGCCACAACTCTGATGCTCTCCACAGGACCGATGTCCGCCTTGCTCTCCGCCAAGGCGAGTTCGCTGCTCGGCCTGACTGCCTCTTCACACACCTGCATGACTTCAGGTGTGATCTGAATAGCTCTCCAAACAAGGGTCCTTGTTTCGGCTTATCAAAAGGACCCTGAAAGGGACCCTAATCCAGACAACTATCGTTCTTGCTATTGGGGCTCTGACTTGCAAGTTCCTTCTCGTCCATGGCTGCATGGCATCACTCTCTTGCCAGCTGATAAAGACTTGTCTGCTGTGCTGCTTTGCGGCCGGGAAAAGACGCTGGAACGATTTGTCCACGGTCCACCAAGTCAACTAAACACACCCTAAGCCCACCACCAAACATACCGTGAACAGTACAAGGTGTTCCGTGATGAATGCGAAAACCAAACCCTCTTAATCCCCTCAACACCTTAGCACCCTAAGCCCGTCGCCACTAAAACCTCAATCAAGATCGACAAGACAAGCTTACAGACACATGTAAACTGGGTTGGCCTTTAAACACCCTGAAAACGAGCCTGTGCCTCATCAGAAATCTCCGTATCGAGTCTTTCTTTTCCACTTGCTGCCTGGAAACCCATGCTTTAGGATTAGACTAGGGTTTTGGGGCCCATTGTACTATAATTATGACAAGGAACCCCAAAGTAGGATAGGAAAGCATTCAGTGAATAAGTTCCTATCCTACTTTATTTGCGCGGGTTCCTTATTACAACTAATTCAGGCCCCTCAACCCTTATCCCTAAGCCCGAACCTGAAACCCCCAAAGCTTGGCACTTCGGTTTTTTACCGGCTCAGGGCCTCCGGTGGTCTTTAAAGAAACCCTTGAAAGGAACCCTGTTCTGATTATTAAGGTCTCTAATATAGAACCCTACTATCGATCCCTGAAGACCACCTTAACCCTTAAAGGAACCCTAGTCTAACTATTAAGGCCCCTATATTTCGGGTTTAGGGGTCTCTGGAACTTAGAGAGTTAACGATGTTTGTGGGGTTGAAGAACCTTAGGGTTCTAGGTACGTAGGTTTCGGGGCTTCGGGGTTCCGGGGGCTTTGGCTGCTTTTGTGATTTTGGATTTGTTTTTTGGGTTCTGGGTTTTTGCTTCAGGCGTGGGGCTCGAGGTTTGGGATTGAAATATCTACCTTAAACCACCATAACCTCTTCGTTCGTAAGCTCTTATTATTGTAGACCCTCGAACGGGTATATAGGGACCCTGCAACACCAGGAGGTTTTGGTAGCTCCAGGTGCTTGTAGCGTCTTGGTTTGGTGCTTCAGCAGATAGGATTTTCCTACTTGTCGGGTATCATGGGGAACTAAAGGTTAACCTTCTTGGCTATATAGGGACTGTAGGGACTATACTACCCGAAAACGGTTAAAGGTTACCCAAAGGGGCCCAAAGTACCTATATAATAGAATGTAGGGTTTCTATAATAGGAATTACTACTATGATTTGGGGGAGAATCTCCCATAACAGTTCCTAGTACCCTTTGGTTACCTACTCTACCACTGAGTTTTTTGGGACGAGTCTGGAGGTCGGCACGGCTTGAAAAGGAAGCTCAGGGTTTTGGGGTTTCCGTGTAGGTCACTGCAAAAGGAATCCTGGCAGACTGGCCCAATGCCACCCTAAGGGTCCATGTACTCATATAGCTAAGGATCCTTTAAGGGTGCCATAAGGGATCCTTTAAGGGATCTATAAGGGTTCGATAAGGGTTTAGGGTATAAGGGTCCATGTACTCATATAGTATATACATTGGCCTTAATGTAGTCCCTATATAGGTACTTTGGGGCTCATGTATCTCTATATGGGTACACGGACCCTCAGGGATAGCTACAATAGGATTGTAAGGCTGTGATACTGGATAATGCATGGATATGACTTTTAGTTCCAACCTCCATCCACATGCCGTGAAGCAAGTAAACCCTCCGCATCGCAAGCATCCGCTCCAGCTTCACCGCAAGCCCTACGAATCCCCGTTCACCTAAACCCCAGGACTCGCTTTCAGAACATACCTATACCCTGCAACCGCAGCTCCTGTTCGTGCTGCTGAGTTTCATTGCTCCAGGGTTCTGTGTCGCCCGAGCTTCTGGAAGAATTTGCCAAGATCCTTAACTCTTAACGCTCTGACCCCCTGAACCCTCAACACAATAGAACAGCTAATCATCTTAAACTCTTCAACTCTCTAAACTCTACACCCTGAAAACCCTACAAACCAAATGAATCCTATGAAGCCCAAGGTCGATATGACGCATCCGCCTTTTCCTCGGCCAACTGCAGCTTGGCTAGAAGCTCCTGGCGCTCGCCGCAGGCAACCTTCCGAACTGTCAGGGATGGGGTTTACCCCTAGGGTCCACCCATAAAGCTCCACCATCCCTGAATTAAGGAATATCCACTAAATCATATTAGGGATCCTACTATAGCTATAATTTGAGGCATATTCCTCAAAGGGATATTGGAGTCTCCGGGCATGTGCCCATATGCTAGACACTGTGGCCCTGAAGTACATACAAAGGGGCGATCTCAAGGCTCATGTGTATACGATAATAGGTACATGGGACTTTCCGAAAATTAGGGGGTACCTTATTGTGGGGTCCTTACAATAAGGATCCTACTATTTAGGGTACTATGTTAGGGTCCCCTATGTTCGGAAACTCCCACATGGACCCTTAGGCTTGTAGAGTTTACAGTTTAGGGTGTAGGGCTTCGGGCCTGGGAAGTAGGATTTCGGGTGCAGGGGCTTGACGGTTGGGGATCCCTCAATGGGGGTTCCTATAAAGTACCCTGAGTAGTATAGGGCCCCAAATTAGGGGATCTAGTTTTTGGATCCGGGGGTGGAAGGTGAGGTCTCGGAGTCGAGGGAAGCATGTAAGGCTGAAGAGAGACTCGGAGGCGCCCTAAACCACTATTAGAGGTTTAGGGTTTAGGGGTTTAGGGGTTTAGGGTTTAGGGGTTTAGGGGTTTAGGGTTTAGGGGTTTAGTAAACCCCTAAACCCTAACCCCTAAACTCATGCTTTATTTTAACGATGTACAGTTGCTTCGCCCACTGGGCTGAATTGAGCGCGCGCGCGCCTACAGGCACTAGCAAGACCGCCCAAAGACCCTAAACCATTAGTCTAAGACGAGTGTCTGGTGTGGGTTTCGGAATCCGCCACTTGGAGGTTCATGGGTAGTTATAAGCAGGGTTATAAGTAGGGTAACTGTACTTACAACCCACGTTAGAGGACTTATGACACCACTTATAACTACCCATGAACGTCCATGTACTCTGTAGGCATCGCCGTTGCATAGAATTTACGGCTTAGGGTGAGACGTGCCAGACCAAAACCTCGGTGTGATCTCCGGGATCCCGTCGTGACGCTGCTGCCAGTGGAGCCGCTGCGTTGCAAGAACCCCAGAGACTCCAATATCTCTTAATTAAGGAGTATACCTTAAATTATATTGAGGATCCTACTATAATTCAAGGTATATTCCTTAATTAAGGGATATTGGAGTCTCTGGGACGGCGGCTTTCAAGGAGGGCAAGTGATGCCCGACTCGCGTTTTCACGTGTCCGAAATGATATTCTGAGATTTGCTCTGTCACTTTCTCTGGCATGAACGGCACGTCGGGTGGATGAAGGAGGAGTCTCTGGATCAAATTCCCGAGGCAGAACAAGTTGTTCCTGGAAGTGATACGAGCATAGGTGGTCCAACCCCATTGCTCCCCGGACGTTTCTTCAGCCTGAGATCTATGAGATGAACATAGTAGGCCGTGAAGCTCTGCTCAAGTAATCGCAGCGGCTCGAAGAGCCGTGGGTTTAGGGTTTAGGGTGCATATCAAAGTTGGATAAGACCCACACAAAACCTTCCACCTGCTGCTAAGTACGGCAACTCACACCCAGACGCTTTAAACCCTGAGAGTCCTATAAGCATTAAAGGAAAAAAACGTGAGCCCTCGTAGTACCCTGATCTAGTCATGCCAAACCTGCAAACTCTACAAGCTCTGGACCCTGAACCCATGCACTACTGTTGTTGTACCCTTACCTTAGCCTATCAAACCCTAACTTGTTGTAGGTCCTTACTATGAACCCTAATATGGAGTTCATTACCAAAAAAAGGTTTGGTGGGTTAAGGTACAGGTATAGCAATCCTTGTAAGCAACCGCATAAGCCTCAAGCCCTAAACGGGTACTCACAGACACCACCCGCCTCCTGGGCTTGGGCAGCCGACTCCCGGCAGCGCGCGAGCTCGTCGACGAGGAGGAACCGCTGTCGCTGAAGCTCCTGAAGGATGAAGGATTTCGGGGCTAGGGTAGGGTTGAGGTCAAGGGCCTAGTTTAGTGTTTTTAGGGTTTAGGATGAGGGACGAGGGTTTGGGGTTTAGGGTTGGGCTTTAGGAGTTCCGGGCCAAGGCTTAATAGCCCGAAGACATCCTTTCGAAGCTTTTGCCCTTGTGACGTCCCTTAGGCTCTGAAACTTCTCCTACCTGTCGGGTATCATGGGGAACTACAGATTCACCGTTTTGGTTATATAGGGATTATATAGGGACTATACTACCCAAACAAGGTTAAAGGTTACCTACTCTACTACTCGGTTCTACATCGTGAAACCTACACTCTGCTACGCCCGAAAGTCTCATCCCTTGCAAAACCCTACGGGTCCATGTACCTAAAAAGTATATACATTGGCCTTAAAGTAGTCCCTATATAGGTACTTTGGGCCCAAAGTATATACTATTTGGGCACATGGAGCGTTAGGGAAACCCTTCTAAATCCAAACTCCGAGGCCTGTATGCCCCGAGCCCTGAAGCGCTAAACCCTGAACCCACAGAAAGCAGCCCTACCCAAAGGGTCCTATGTACTGTTATGGGGAATACTTGCCCAAATCATAATAGTAGTTCCTAATATAGAAACCCTACATTCTACTGTGTCGGTACCTTGGACCCTTTGGGCTAAACTAAAGCCGACCTCATCGACACTTTCAGAACCCTTTCAAGGAACCCTACACCCTTTCAAGGAACCCTCGATAAAACCCTTCTAGAATCCGCTGAAAGTGCCCTACGTCATAAACCTTTCTCGACCTCTTTGAAGGAACCCTACACCTTAGAAGCTGCCCCCACCCTGTAATAGTGACTATAAGGCTACTATAAGGATTATATTAGGGCCCTATTTTATTCCTATTAAACCACTATTACAGGGTGGGGGCAGCTTCTAAACTACACCCTTCAAAGGAAAAGGAACCCTACATTCTCTAAAGGAGCCCTGCCTAAACCCTTCAAGACCCCTCTAGAAGGAACCCAAAGACTCCAATATCCCTTAGTTAAGGAATATACCTTAACTCATACTAGGGATGCCACTAATTTGGGGTATATTCTATTCCTTAATTAAGGAATATACCTAACATCATATTAGGGATCCTACTACTTTGGGGTTTCTTTATTCTTTAGTTACGGGATATTGGCATCTCTGGGAACGCTTCTGGACCCCTTTTAAAGGCGACCCTGCATTATAGGAGCCCTGCAATAAAGAAGCCCTATACATCCTTTAAAGCAGCCCTACAATAAAGAAACCCTATACATCCTTTAAAGAAGCCCTACATAAACCCTTGTAGAGACGCCGTTAAAGGGAACCCTACCGAAGTCGCCTCCTGCTCTTCCTGCATCCGCCGCCAGGAGCGGGCAAAGTTGCCCTGCTGCTCCGAAAGCGCACGCCTCAGCTCCTGGCTATAGGGACCTTAATTAGCTAGAAGAGGGTTCCTTTAAGGGGTCTGTCTGTAGGGGATCTATAATGGGGGTCTATGATCTAGGGGCCTAATATTTAGAATAGGGTTTTGGGGTAGATTCTACTAGAATCAGAATCAGGAGCTGAAGCGCACGCCTCAGCTCCTGCAGGTATGAGAGGACACCATCCCCCATACCAAAGATTGGCACTCCGTAAAACCCGAACCCTCAAGCCACTACCTGCCGAAACCTGGGCGGCGATGAAACTCTGAAGATCACAAGTTTCAGGGTCTGTGGGTCGACCCATGATGGCTTCCAGGTGGACGGTGGACTGTAAGGGGTAATATAGGGGCCTCAATATTGAGAATAGGATTCCTCTAACGGAGTCTATAAGGGCTACTATAAGGGACAAGGATCTATAAGGGCACTATAGTATAGGGGCCTTTATGAGTAGAAGAGGGTTTTGGGGCCCATTATACTTAAGGAAGGCACTCAAGGCCCTTCACTACCCCACCATACTGAAGCACGACCCGTCGCCCAAACCCAAAGCCAAAACAAACACCCGTCCGGAAGCCATAGGACTTTGGGTCAAAGGTTGTAGCAACACAGGAAGAGTAATGCATCACATTACGGTGTATGATGTGAATTTACTGAGCGAACACCACAAAACATGTGTACATAAATAACGACAGATAATCCTAATCCGTAAACCCCAAACCCTAACCCCTGTAAATAGAGCATACCGCCTTAAGGTTCCCGGGGGCGCCTCGCATTCCTGCTGCAGCTGATCATGGGGCTGGGAAACGCCTGGGTGGCTTTCAGGGCTAAGGCTCTGTGGGTTTAGGGTTCATTATAGGATCCTTAAGGGAGGGTGGTTCAAGGGGGGAGGGAATAAGGAATCCTTAGGGGACTGTACGGGAACCTTAGGGAGTACTAGGGAGGATTAGGGATCACTAGGATATATACCCCCCTTGGACCCCCCTCCCTTAAGGATACTACAACTTCAGGTTTCAGGGCCTAGGGCTTAGGGTTTTACGGTTCAGGGTTTAGGGGTTTAGGCTGTACCTATAGTCTCCATTGTAGTTCCTTTTTTTGGTTAACCAAAATCCTCTATTATAGGATCCTAACCATAAAACTGGTTAACCAAAAACAAGGAACTACAATGGAGACTATAGGTAGGCTTTAGGGGCTAGGGGTTTAGTTGACGAAACTAAGAAACTCGGGACAGCGGGGTCTGTGCTCCACGTGCGGACAAAACAACTTCAGCAGGAAATCCTTATATGAAGGCCCTCGAAAGAAGGAGGTAGTTTGTGGGAGCTTCCGACTAAAAGGGACCCTAATATAGTACCCTCATCCCTATCATAATGACACCATAATCTGGCACCCCAATTTTCAGAAACTCCCGCATGGATGAGGGATTATAAGGACCCCCAAAATACGGTACCGCTAATTTTCGGAAACTCCCATTTGTTGAAGTAGGGCAGCAGGGGGGCCCAACGCCCCACCCCCCCCCCCCCCCCCCCCCAATGGATGCGAACGGGCCGCCCGAGCCCTGCTGCGTGGCTTTCAGGATCGCCTCGAGCTCCTCGTCTTGCTCTAGTTTAGGGTTTAGGGGCTTAGGGTTTAGGGTTTAGGGGTTTAGGGTTTAGGGGTTTAGGGGTTTCGGGGTTTAATTAGGGTTTAGGGTTTGGGAGTTTAGGGGTTTAGTAAGTCTTATAGGTGCTGTCAGGGTTACAAAGTATGGGCTTATCGTTCTGATAAACCCTGAACTGCCTTAAGTCATATGACCCTGTCTGTTTCCTAATTACTAACCCTAAGACTCCAAATAGCCCAAAGTAGGTAGCATTTATAGACTTTAGACCCCAAAGTAGGTACTCTTTGTATACTTGGAGTCTTAGGGTATTGGTTACCTATTATCTTGCAGCTTGGAGAGGGTCTATACCTATAGTATCCGTTGTAGTTCTTTTTTTGGTTAACCGAAATCTCTATTATAGGGCCCTAACCATGAAACTGGTTAACCAAAAAAAGGAACTGCAATGGAGACTATAGGTACTGCCTTTCCAGTTGAAGGTGTAAGGACTTTGGGGACCCGGCTTGATTGAACGACACGCCCTGCGCCCTAAACCTTCAAGTCCAGGCTGAATTGACAAATTCGCATAGTCTAGGGCTCCCGGTACCTAAATTGTAGGTTACTAACCATAAATTATATACCCCAGTAACCTACGATTTAAGTAACCGTAGCCCTAGGGATACTGTTGTATTCACGCGGCAGCATCGACCCTAACCAAACAAAGCTAGCGCACCTTCCCGTGCACCTGTAGACACGGCAGGAGTAATACCACCAGGACCCTCCTTGTACCCTCAAATAGGGGTCTATGGTCCCAAACAGTGGGTACTTAGGGTCTAATAGAGGGTAGATGGAGGGTCTATGTAGTCTTGAGTTCAGTCGCCTGCTGTAATGCATGAACTGTTGAGAGATCGGTCATCTGCCGACGAGCTTCCGCTGCCTTGGACCCTAACCTGGAAATCCTAACCCCTAAACACTCTATACCTAGAGTTCCTAAACTCGAAACTTCGTGTAACCCCCTAAGCCCCCTAGGCCCCCTAAGCCCCCCCTGGGCCCCCAAAGCCCCCTGAGCACCCTCGGCCCACCTCCACGCCCTCCTTTGGCGGAGCATCTTGGAGAGAAGAACCGCCACGGCCCAGCTCCTGAAGCCGAAGGCTGGATCGGGCGAGCCCGAGACTTGCTGCACACTTGTTGATAGAAATCCTCTATTATCTTAAGGACCCTTGACTATAGGAATTATGGTATACTCCTTATTCATTATTCTCTGCCTCTGGATAAAGGTCCCTGATTTCAGGGGTGCCCAAAGTGGACGGTACAGTGTGTGCGCGAAGCTGCACGACCTAACATTCACGACCACACCACCGTAACCCTGAACGCCCCAACCCTGCACCTTCATTAAATCGCTAACCCTCTACAATAAACTTTCAACCCGACAAGCCCTGTACAACCTGTTTGCCCTTAGTTCGACCCCCGAAGCCTCCACGGCTGGCAGGAGCGTCTCAGCCGACGCGGCTGCCGCGGTTTTCGCAGCACCCGCCCAGGCCGTCAGGAGGAGACGCACTGGGCCCAAGGGATTTTGCTGCGCGGCTTCTATGGGTTTGTAGATATGTTTTTAGTAGATAGGGCCTATAAGGTTCAGGGTTTAGGCGTTTTGGGCCGTACAGCTTTGAGGTGTAGGGTTTCGGGGCCTAGGGCTGGTCGTGTACAGGGCTTGTGAAAAGTTTGTGGGTTGCGTGGTCTGGGATATCGGAATTAAGGCTTTCAAAGGCTTGAAGGGTTTGGTGTTAACATGGTTTCGGGTGTAAGGTTTGTGCATAATGTACTTATCATTCACTGTACACCTGCACAGGTGCTACTACAGCTGCACAAACGACGACGACGATGACGATGACGACGACCACGACTACTTCTACGACTGTGATTACGACTTTCGGTGATTGGGTTTGCGAGTGTAGACTTCGTGTGGAGCAACCCTGATACCCAAAAAAGTTCAGGCCAACTTAAGACCCTAAACCCTAAACCTAAAACCTACAACCCATTCCGGTTCGGGGCGATTCGGGGCTGAGTGTGAGATGCAGGGTTGGACTTGGACACGGGTATGTCCCAGCCGAATCGTAGCATCCCGCCACAACTAGCTCAGCTCACTAATAAACTACTAACCTAAGCATGCCCTGTATAGGCACTGAACCGAAGCCGAAACGCCAAGACGGTAACTGTAGCACCGATTCCTAAACCCAGCCTATAAACCCAAATATCTGACGGCTCCCCTGGCGAATTCATTGCAGAACCCTGACCAATAAATCCTAAACCCTAAACCCTAAAACCTAAACTCCAAACCCTAAACCTTAAACCCCTGAACCCCAACCCCTAAACTCAAAAGTGCGAAACTGCAGGCAGGCGGCGACTCAACTCCTCGCAAGCAGCGGTTGAAGGGGCCGCCACCTGAACAACGTCACCAACCCCGGCCCTTTGAGTATGCCAGTTGCAGGTTCATGTTTTATAGTGTTTGGGAGTGATGAAGAGATTATGTGTTCAGGCTGCATTGGTGCTGTGGGCTGCCATGCTAAGACCATGCTGCATCCATAGAAGTTTTGCAGTCTTGCACAAGCTTTGGCAAGAACATGGTGAAACGTTTGTTTTCACATCGTCTAGCTGAATCCACTGCCGATACTTTCTGAACTGCGCGTGCATTGTTTATAGGGCCGTTGGCGTAGGATACTGTTTTAACAGTAAGGAACCCTAAAGAATCATCTTAGAAACTATTCCGGACGCTCAATACCCATGTGGCTGGCTGCCCGTTTCAGCAGAAGAAAGGGTCGACTTAAGGGGAGTCGTAACGGGATTGGGGTTAATATAGGGGCCTATAATGCCTTAATAGTTAGAATAAGGATTTGGGTATATTGTACATTATACCATAATCATGATGCGGAACACCCACAATAGTATTGGTAATTGTTTAGGCCAATATATTCAGGGTCGGCACCTTTGATGACGCAGCTGACGGGACTCTGTTTGGGGTCGTATTATTACAAGGAGCCCCTGTTCTCTGAAACTCCACCTGCCCTCCCGAAGCCCACCTTTGCAGCGGCCGCAGCATTTCTGTGTCGAAGTCGAAGGAGGTCCTGTCCGGATTTGAGATCTAGATCGCGTTTACAGTCTTCTTTGGGGTCGACAGTGATGTCGGGATTTCGGATCGACAGCCGTGCTGTCGGGATTTCGGATTTAAAGGCTGCTGGCTGGATTGTGAACTTTATCAACTCAGCGACAGCAACATCGTCGTAGCAGAACATCAGCTAATGTCAGCCCCCAAGACAAAAGGCGAATAAACCCCCAACGTTAATCCACATTAGCCCCTGAACTCAAACTTTTACTGGGTTGGATTTTCAAGACCCTTGAAGATAGTAGTATACAGGTTCCCTATAAGCCCAGTTACTTGCTCAACCCTAAACCCCTGAAGCGCGAACTCTAAATATAAACTCCCGTCAGATCCCTTGGCCCTAGAACCGTAGAGCCCGAAAAAAAATCGGAGCCTAAACCCATGAGCATGGGGAGTAGGGCTATAAGGCCCTTCATCGGGGTTGTTCGTGCAGATAACCAAAGTTGCTTCACTTATGACCCGTCTGCTAAGTCCCCGAATCGAGTTCATGGTCGGGATAATACTATAAACTCCAATTTTTTATTTGACGACGTACCCCCAACTTTTTCTGCAGTGTTAGCCGACTATGACAAAGTGATCCATTGTAGAGCACCAGAAAGCGCTCCCCAAGCCTGCTGGTGGCTGCGGAGCTCCCGAAGCCGTGCAGCCTCCTGGGGAGCTTTGGGTTTGGGGCTCTTTTGGGGGTTCCTGTTTTACAGCATTTTTGAAGGTCCCCTTTACGACTTTAAGAGTTCCTTCAGGGGTTCCGTAAGGGTGCTACAGGTGTTGGTGGTTTCGGGCTTGGGTTTCGGGAAGCTTCCGAAGGTTTTACCGTTCTCTAGCTCTATATAAGCAATTCGCAGAGGGATTCTGGGGTGTTAGAGCGCCGCACCACAGGGCTTCATAGGTGTGGAAGTAAAAAGACCTCCCCGAGCCGCCTGTCCGTAAATGGATGTAGCTGTTTCATTACCATGATGCACACCACCATCGCCTGATTTGACAAAGTGGTGGTCCCATCACGTACGTGAAGCCGAGACAGAAGTTAGTGAAAGGAAAAGGAGAAAATGAGGAACACCGGATTGTACTGTTAATATTGTCAAAGCTAAAGCTAATGTGCTTGCTTGGCTGTTGCTTCTAGCATGCTTCGCCTCTGACATTTCCACAAGAATAAGCAATACAATGAAGACACGAACTAGCGAGTTAAGGATAAATCAACGCTCTTTTACAGAGTAAAAGGAACTTGTATCACGATCAAACATAGACTTGTTATTCAACATGGAAGTGCGGGAAGTCTACTCCGAAACCTCAAAGCACCGGATCTCACCGTCAAGAAAGCCGATACGGTTTGGGCTTCTAGGGTTCAGGTTCTGTTTGGTTAAGTGATGAGCCGAACACCCCCGGCTGTGTGCACGAGACCATGGCCTTGGTGCAGCGCTCCCACCAAGAGAGACCTAGCGGCTTTTTGACCCAGGGCTGGCATTAATATAGGGGCCTTAATAACTAGAATAGGGCTCCTTTAAAGGGGTCTATTAAGGGCTACTATAAGGGATCTATAAGGGTACTATAAGATAGGGGCCTTAATAATTAGAATAGGGTTTTGGGGTATATTATGCGATAATTATAGTGAGGAGCCGCCAAAGTAATATACATGGGTCAGTAGGCCCCTGCATTAGCGTCTTCCCGAAGTTTAGAGTTTATAGGGCTTAGGGAACCATTTTCTAGGCTAACCTGTTTGATATGGTTAGGAGGCTTTGTTTGACCCAAATAGCATACTTTTGGAAGGACTTGTCTACAACAATCATATAAACAGCCCTAAAACGGTAGGCTTCGTAGGGTCCAGGTAGGAAAGCCGGGTCGCTTTCTCGAAGCCAGGTTCGCTCCGAGAGTTTGTGGAGCAAAGCGAAGCCCGATGCTCCTGCCGAAGGGCCGGGAGAGCCGGGGGGCTTCAGGATCTAGGTTGGCCCTTTAAAGCCTCTGAAAAATATTCGTAGATACGGTCCCACAAAGCCCCATAAGGGAAAATATGAAATGTCCCAAAGGCCTGCCTAGGTCTTTAGGTTTTATAGGTTTTAAGGTTCAGGATGTTAAGCTTCGTGTTTGGGTTTTGGTCTAGGGGGCAGGGAGAAAAGGCTGCTTCAGGATTAGGACTTTGGGTTTTAGGGACTGTTTCGGGTTTAGGGTTGCGACAATATCTAGGGCCTCTAGGGGAACCCTAAACCCTGAGCCCTAAACCCGGGTTTAGGGTTGCGATAATAGGAGGCGAAAAGTCAGGGGATAGTATTTCCGACCCCTCCACGACAAAAGATACGAAAATACGGATCCCCAAACTGAGCTCATTACGAGACCTATCCATGCCTCGAAATCCTGAGAACGTAGGCTGTTAACCTAGAACCACCAAACAACGACAAACACCTTTCCCCCCCCAACCCCTTAAACCCTACTCCTACTCACCCCAATCCCTTCAGCCCTGAACTCAAATCCCACACCTCGTCGGGTGCAGCTGCACCTGGCGACCAGGACCCAGGCGTGAAAGAAGGCCACCGGTAGCCTGGCGAACCCAACTCTCCTTTAAGGTTGTTTTTTTGAGGGCCTTCCTTTAAGGGTTTAGGGTTTAAGGTTTAGGATTCAGGTTTCCAGAAGTCTGCTGTGGCGATTTACAAGAGGCTTCGTAAGGGTTGTAAACGGGCTGCTTTAGTCTTGCATCGGGGCGTTACGTGCGCTCTTTCAAGGTCCCTTTATGGAATTTGATGGCAGAGGGTTGTTGTTACAATGATCCAGGTGGGGGTGCGGAGTCCCTAAGCCTTATAACCCCTAACTCCTCAAGCATCCCTTTAAAGGATCCCTTAACGGAGACCCCAAACTCCTCGTCCCTTCAAAGATCCTTTAAAGGGGACCCGAAACTCGGTCCTCTAACATCCCTTTCAAGGATCCCTCTCAGGCGATGATATCAATAGTCCTGCAGGCCCCTGGAATACCATCTGAACCACTATATGGGTGGTTGTCAAAATTAGGGTCCCTTGTTGGGTACCCTAAATACCAGGGTGCCGTACTATATTAGGGACCCAAAGAGGGACCCTACCTAATTTTTTGAGAACTGCCCATATAAAACCGATTCTACAACCCATGAGAGTTCCGCTTGGATTACTTTAGGGCCAGGGGTTCCTTTAAGGCTTCCTTTAAGGCTTCACAACCCTTAAGAATTCCTCTAGGCTTACTTTAGGGCCAGGGGTTCCTTTCAGGCTTCCTTGGGAGGATCGATCCCTTAGCGGCTCCCCCTCCGGGCCTCTGCACTGCCCCCAGCCGTTGGAGAGGCTCCAACGACTCCAGGCACCAACGCGGCCACCTGAGACAGTCGCGCATTGGAGGCTTAGGGTTTAGAGGGTAGGGGTTTAGGGCGTAAGGGGTTTAGGGATTATAGGGGTTGGCTGAGGGTGTTTAGGGTTGAGGGTGTTTAGGGCTTAGGGTGTTTAGAGTTTAGGGTTCAGGGGCTCTGTATGGTGTTGGGCAAAAGGTGGAATAGAAGGGCTTATAGGGTTCGGGGTTCAGGTTTGGCAGGATCTTCAGACCCCGTCGTTTTGAGGAACTAGGATAGCAAGCAGTTGCTTCAGAGAGCAGTGGGTACCCTAGAAGGGGCCCTCGGTGGGGCATAATACCCATAGCTCGACACAAGAACTACTTACAGTCCCCCGACCCTCCAAGCATTGGGAAAATGACAATGCTACTCCCACAAGGATCAAGGCCACATTTTCGACTATAGGCAGGATCGCAACCTTAGGCAAATTCTCAAGACTGGGGAGTCGGGGCATGTATCTTGCTAGAGTCATTCTGCACATTCACTGTGCACGGACGCACTCACTAAACATAGAGCTTCTGAGAAAAAATCAATGTAATTTGACATGAGCACACACCGGCCTCGTCATCACCACTGGCTTAGAGGCCACAGCCGCCAAGTTGGCGACGGCCTCCTCGAAACAAAGAGCTAGAAAGGTGCCCGGGACTTAACTCTCAACTATACGCCTGAATCAAGCAAAACCACACCCCAAACCCTAAACCCTAAAGAAAAAAGGGGCCTCTGAACCCCGAGCCCGAATTTCAGACTCCAGTGTTGAGATGCAAGATGTCTAGGGCGTAGTAACTGCCATCCGTGCTTTTGGAGTCTTGTCACATACTGATTCTCAACCGAAGCCGTGAGACCCCCCCTAAAGGCCTTGAAGGGAGATTATACTATAGTAATCGTAGTAATAATAATAATAGTAATAATAATAATAACAATAATAATCATAATAATAATAATAATAATAATGAGGGGCCCCCAAAACCGTGTTCTGATTTGTTTAATGCCCCTACATGAAACCCTAAACCCGCAGGCTGAAGCTTTGGATTTCGCACATCTTTGGATCCTTGGCGCTGAAGCAAAAACCCCCCAAAGTCAAGCAGAGCCATCGAGGCCAGATACTTAGGGGCTGAGTGCCCTGGCCCAGAAAAGGTTAACCTTTTCAAGTAGAGTGGGAAAAAAACCCAAAGGCTCCATGTACCTTTACAGTAGATACTTAGGCCTTAAAGGGGTCCCTATATAGGTACTTTAAGGCCTAAGTATATACTATATGGGTACATGGACCCTTAGGGTAAGAAACCCCAAGAAGTTCAAGGTTACCTACGCAGCTACTAAGTTGAAGGGCTGCGGGGTCTGGGGTTTCAGGTTCAGCGTTGAGGGTTGACCCTAAGGGCCGCTCTTGGTTTAGGGTTTAGGGTTTATAGGGTTTAGGGTTTAGGGTTTAAGGGTTAAGGTGCACGAAAGTGCATAGCTATCCCAATATTCGGATGTGGATAGGGTATTTTCAGAGACTGGGGCAAGGTTTGAAGCTGAAAAGGGACTCAGGGCGCTTAAGGCCTTCGTTTCGGGAGACATGGAGTTACGAGTTTTGAGGTTCAGTGTTTGAAGGATGCTCGGCAGCTAGCTATGAAGCTCTTGTGTCAGGATGTCGGTGAATGTAGGGGCTTCAAGAGAATTCAATAGGCTTGCTGGTATACATTCCGACCCCCACATTTTCGTCGTGGTGATGACATCGGTGATGATACCTACACTGAGAGCTGAGGGGAAGGGCCTGGCAACGTGTGATGCTCCCACGAGCATCTTCGGAAACTTTTAAGCACCGAAAGCAGCCGAGGCACCTAAGGGTTTAGGCTCAAACCCTAAACCCTGAACACTGAACCACTAAAAAAGTTGAACCACCCGACCTCCAAAATCTACGGAGACCCTAACAGCTCTCAGCGCCTGCCTCGGCCGCACTCCGCTCCTGGCGCATCAGCCGTAAAGAGAGATTCCAAGACCTTTGCAACAGGAGGTGTAGGGCTGAAGAGCAACTGAAGGCTTTTCTTGCTTCCGTGTAGTGGCAACTTGAAAGTGTAGGCTTTAGGATGCTTTCGTTTAATTGTCGGCTGTAAGGTTTATAAGGTTGATCGATCGATTGTGGCTGTAGGGTTTATGAGGGTCTAGAGCTCAAAGAATTTAAGGCTCAAAGATTGAGGGTTCGAGCCTTCGGGATGCTTCGGGTCTCAGGGCTTCGGATTGACCATACTGAACTTAAGGGGCGGCTAGGGTTTAGGGTTTAGGGTTTAGGGTTTAGGGTTTAGGGTTTAGGGTTTAGGGATTCACCATACTGAACTTAGAACCCTAGCAAAAATTATAATTTTAGCTGTTTCTTAGGGATTATAATAACCAGAAATTTCAAAAATATTTCTAAGTACCCCTAAGTTGAAGTCTAAAGGTGTAGGACCTCGGCCCGAGCCGGCACCCTGAAACAGAGCTGTCAAACATAACGGTTGATGATATAAAACCTGCATGACCCATAGTAAGGAATATACTAACCATACTTCTCATAATCCAAGACTGCCGTATGTTTGATGATATAAATCCTGCATTACCTGAAGGACCCTAAACTATGATAGTTTAGGGTCCTTAAGGTAATGCAGGATTTATATCATCAAACATACGACAGTCTTGGAAGGGCCAGGAAGTACCTAAAAACATCGACGCCCCGAAGGATGACCCTTGCCTTACCCAAAGGGTCCAAGGTACCGATATAGTAGAATGTACCTTAAGCCGGAATGACCTACCTTTTTAGGTCCTTAATTATTATGATTTCTTTATATAAGTCCCTAAAAAGGTAGGTTATTCCGGCTTAAGGTAGGGTTTCTATACTAGGCATTACTATTATGATTTGGGGAAGTATTCCCCATAACAGTACATAGGACCCTTTGGGTTAAACTACCATAACCTACTTTATTGTAGGTTCTTACTATAAGCCTCAATATGGAAATTATAGAGACCCTACAAAATAGTAGGTTTGGGTTGTTCAAGGTAAGGTTGAGTCACCTCAAATCCTAAACCCGAGCACCCAAAGCCCACGCCCATTGGGTTCTTGCGAAGAGGCTTGAACAAGGAAACTGTGTGATTTACCATAGGCCATACGTCCCTACAGTGGCAGCTTAACTAGTTCAAGTTCCTGAACCCTAAACTTAGCTCCTTCCCTAACAAGAGCCCAAACCAGAAACGATAAGAACGTTTTATATGCCCGCACAGCGTCCGGGGCCGCATTTTTTTGCTCCGCATATGGTAGGTGTTGGAGTAAACGTGATTCGTGGTCATGTGCTGCCCCGGATCGAAGCAGCCCCTGCCAAAGGCTTCCTCCCTTGTCAGGTTTGCAAGCCCCTGCATATTTTCCAGACCTGCTGGGGCTTGCTTTTTTGCATCTGACAGGCTCGCTGCCGGCTGCTCCGCCTGCTTTTGGCGCAGGCGGCGTCTCTTCGACGACGTCGCATCGACGTTGTGCTCGTGGTACAGGGGAGCATCGGCACTTGACCAGGACCCTCATCCCTCCAGGCAATCTGTCTGTTGAGTGGGTATGCGGTCGTCATTTATACAGACGGGAAGATAGATAGATGGATAGATTAGATAAGTAGCTGCTATGTCGACCTGGCTCATAAGCACGATCCACACACAACTCCATGTGTGTGTGTGTGTGTATGTGCGTGTATATATATATATACAAACGTATGAACGAAAGATATCTGTAATCTTATGTATAAATAGTGTGTATATATATATATATATATACACATGTGCATCATTATATATGTGAAATATACATACATATGCCTATGCATCGCATGCCCGGTACTACCGGTACGGTACACTGTGTCAATCCTGTGACCCTGTACTCCAAATATTCCCAAATGCTGCTGGGTCGGGAGCCTGTACGTCCACCTCTTGAGATCTCGGTCCTGGGAATCTGTGGGAGTTTCCGAAAATAAGGGGTTTTGGGGCTTAGGGTTTAGGGTGTCTCCGAAAATTAGGTGTGCCTCATCTTGGGGTCCTTCTAATAAGGATCTTACTATTTAGGGTACTACATTGGGGTGCCCTGTTTTCGGAAACTCCCACAATGTACCCTAAGGGTACCGGTAAGGGTTGCTTTCACGGGCTCCTATTCAGGGTACCACAAGGGTTTAGGGCTGGGTCCATGTTCTCACATAGTACATACTTTGGCGTTAAGATAGTCCTCGTTATCGGTACTTTAGGACCAACGTAAACAGACGACACGACGAACCTATTGCTTGTCATGAACACGGTCATCATGACAACTGGCCCTGCTTGTGCTAATGATTGCTTCTCCCTAAGGGTCCATGTACCCAAAGAGAGATACATGAGCCCCAAAGTACCTATATAGAGACTACATTAAGGCCAATGTATGTACTATATGAGTACATGGACCCTTATACCCTAAACCCTTATCGAACCCTTATAAATCCCTTAAAGGATCCCTTATGGTACCCTTAAAGGATCCTTAACTATATGAGCACATGGACCCTTAGGGTCTGTTGCGGTAGAAGCAGGGAAGAGCAACGACCCTCAGGATGCCTCTCTCCGAGCAAAGGGAACGCGCCGGGACCGGGAAAGCTTGTGAATCCTGAATGGGTGGTTGTCAAAATTAGGGTCCATTTGTGGGGTACCCTAAATCATAGGTGCCGTACTATGATAGGGACCCAAAGCGGGACCCTAATTTTGACAACCACCCAAATATATCCTGAGCTCATCAGCTCAAAAACAGTCAGCAGCTACTCCAAGCTTTGAATACCACTCCCCCCACCTCCAAAAACAAAAAGCAAACTCCGAAAGCCTGAAGAGTCCAAAGCCCCTCTCTGAGGAAACACTAAACATGCTTCCGCCTGGCAAATCGTGGCACACGAGAGCCCGGTGTTCGCCAGCACCGCATATCCTGAGAGAGTACGGCCCAAAGCCTCAACCTTGAGTTCCTCCCCTAAACCCTAAACCCTCCTGCCTGGGAGCCCAGAATTTCCTGAAACTTACACTGATCCTTCATTCTTTCATCCTACGTGTATCTAACACTCAGACATGAGTTCAACATAGTTCAACAACAATGAACTAACCGGAGGGGCCAAGAAGCAGTGGCTTCTATTGGCGATCCATTGGAGTTCCTCTGTGCCACACTACTGGTACGACTTGATGGTATTCCTATTGACATGAACATACATAAATGCATTTACTGACGGCAAACATCAGTGTTGGCTACAACTTTAGGTCTACACCTACCTTGCAACTAGAATGAGAATGCCGGGGACGGTTCTAAATGGTTTGGAGGACTGAGGCACCGTCCTGTATAAAACAAACACCTCCCTTTGAGTAGTCGAGCTTTCGATCATCGTCTCGCGTGGCAGAGCCATTGATTGAAGCGTTTCTACATGATAAACTCTAAACCTTCAGCACTAATCAGCACTAATCTCTAAATCCAAAACCCCTAGCCGCAAACCGTATGCGGGCTCCCTCAGGAAGGTTGCAAACAAGTCGGGTCCACTTTGAGCCCTCTTGGTGACGACCGAAGCCAGGAGATACCAGAAAAGTAGCTGGGCCAACTAATACGGGAGCCGTGCTGAAGGCTCAAAGATGTAAGTCGGTAGTATGGAAGTCGGAATATCTTAAAATCAAAGGCGATATTCAGATCGTTCAGGCTTCTAAGTCGATCACATCCTGTAGTTCATCACCAAGACCTGATAAATATACATCATGAAAACGCCATGAATCCTGCTTTAAAACACTCAGAAAGCTCAGAATAAGGCCAGAGTGTGATGAGAACCCAACCCGCGATGAGCCCTCATAAAGCGATGCCATGCACTTCGTCAGAACTGATAGATGAAATCCTGAATAAGTGTAAATGCTATTCTGCTATTCCTTGGGATTCCTGCAAACTAGATTACAATAAAGAACTCCACCCAAAGTTTCATAGGATTCCTACAAACTATGCTATAGTTATTATAATAATACACCTCCCAAACCCCTGTTCTAACTATCAAGGCCCCTTTATTACCCTAAGGGTCCATGTACCCACATACTAGATACTTCGGGCCTAAAGTACCTATATAGAGACTACTTTAAAGCCCATGTCTATACCCTTTGCGTTCATGGACCCTTAAACCCTAATCCCTGAAGAACCCGTATAGGAACCCTTATAGTAGACCCTTAGAGGAACCCTTATAGTCGACCCTCACGGGAACCCTTGGGCACGTGGACTGTTAGGGTTAGACGTGCGTCGGACGCAAAGCCGGCCCGCTGAGGATTCCATGGCTGCACGCCACCTGGGGACATGGGCCCTTAGGGTTTTTTTGGGGGGAAGTAGAGTTTAGGGCTATAGGGTTTAGGGTTTAATTAGGGCTTTTAAGGTTTCGGGTTCAGGGTTTATGGCTCTTAAGGTTTAGGGCTTTTAGCGCTTACAGGGTATAGAGCTTTTAGGGTTTGGGGTTTATGGTTTATAGGGTTTAGGGCTTATGGGATTTAGGGTTTAGGGATGTCGAAACAAGTCGCGGGCGTTGGGGGTTCAGAGTTCGGTGGGTGAGGTTCCGGTTTTCGAGCTTCGGTAGGGTTTGGGTTGGTTTCGGGCTCGGGGTTTGGGGTTCAAGTTTTGGGCCTTTGGGGAGTAGAGTTTAGGATCCACGGCTTCAGGGACAGCAAGGTTCCGGGGTTCCGGCCACACCCCAAGGGTCCAAAGGACCCAATAATCAGGTACTCGGTTTTAGGATACTAGTTACGTAGGTTAGGATTTTGGAGAGTATATGATTATTAGGTACTTGGACCCTTGGGGACAGGGTTGAGGACTGACTAAGCGCAGCCTTCCTTCGATCACGAATGGGTCCAGGGTTTAGGGTAGATGCACGAATCCCGAAGTTTAGGGTAGATGCACGAAGCCCGAAAGCAACAAATCCTGCACCCCAACTTCCACACCCCAGTCCTATACCCAGAAACCCAGAGCCCTAAACATGCACCCAACAGCCTAAAACCCCCAATGATCCCTAAAGCCCCAACCCCAAAGCGCGTATTGTCGGCAGCCCTGAACCGAAGGGCTGTAGTTCCGCTGCAAAACGAGGAAAACTCGAAACGAAAGAACCCCGAAAGTCCGGACGTCCCCGCGCCTGCAGGCTGAAGCCCTGAACTCTGAGCCCTAATTAAACAATCAGCTAAACTCTTATAAACCCGACAAGCCCTAAACCTCGAGCGCTAAGCTAGACGCACTAGTAAACTTCAGTATGGGTTTTAGGCTTCCTGCTTCTCGCGGTAACTAGATATATCCTTTCACCTTGGTGCTCCTCCCAAGCAGCAAACCTCAAAATCATTCTACAAAATCCCGACGTCAAAACTCATACACATATAGTTTGGCATTTGTGTACATGCAGGCACATGCTCGCACACACACACACACACACACACACACAAACGCTCATCTGCATGTAATGCTTACAATGTACCAGTTTTACCTATCTCCCTATCTGTATGTCTGTCTGTCCGTCCGCTTGCCTGCCTGGGTTGTCTGTCTGTCCATATGTCGGTCTGTCTGTCCATGTGTCCGTTCATGTATGTATGTATATACATACATACATATACATATATATATATATATATATATATGTGTCTGTGTGTACGTATGTAGATGTGTTTGTATGCAGGTAAGTAGGCAGATATGTAGGTATATAGGTAGGTCGGTGGGCAGGCAGGTAGGTAGGTAGGTAGGTAGGTATGTGAGTATGTGAGTAAGCCTGGGTAAGCATGAATGTAGGTATGTATGTGTGGGTGCATGTATGTATGTATGAATGGTCGCATGCATCTATACATATATATATATATGTAGGTATGTAGGCAGGTAGGTAGGTATTTATGAACGGGTGTGTGTGTCTACACATATTATGTATGTATATATATATACATATATACACATCTATATATGTACACACATAATACAGAAATGAACATAAATGCTTATGAACACATCGTACATGCAGATAAGCGAAGTACACATACACATTACGCCCATATGCACACAGATACAGATACGGATAGAGATACAAACAGCAGAGATCCATCGACGACGCAACACTGGCCAAGGTACCCTTCAGGGACCCCAGAGAAGCAGCAATTTGGATAGGGAGTGATACGGACATCCCATCTAAGCCCAGAAAACCACACCCAATAAGGTAGAAATATCTTAATCCCTCAACCCTGAATCATGCTAATAGTCATGCTGCTTATGCTAATTATGCTCGGGTCCTTTTCGGAGCCCCTAAACCCTAAACCCTATTTGCTTATGTCCTTTTTGGAGCCAAAGGCACTCTTCCTGCTCAAGGTCTCCTTCGACGCGTCGGACGACGGCCTTCCTCAGGGGCGCAGGGAACTTCGCGGTTTCGAAGTCAGAACATTTCAGGGCTTTGTAGGGTTTAGAGCTTGAGCTTTGTAGGGTTTAGGGTGCATGGGGGTTTGAGCCTTCTGTCAATCAGAAAAATTGGTTAGGGGTGTATATATACGATTGATTTTAGGGTTGAATGTCTCTAGAACTGCGGCTTTGAGTTTGAGTCTTTTGGGACTTGGGGTTCGGGGTTTCAAGGGTCAAAGTGTGGGATTCCGGATACTCGGGCTTTGCAGTCTGGGAGCTGGGGCTCCAAAGCTTAAGGATTCGCGCATGCCACTTGTGGAAGGACGGGTATAAGTCCTCCATCAGGTGGTGGCCACGAGGCGAGTGATCACAGGCGACAACAGGCTCGTCTTACTCTAACTCATTCAGAAAGCAAAGCTGTCAGTCTGCCAAATGCAGAGCACCCTGTCCACGGGTTGCTCCGATACGGGTTGCCCGAGGTACGCATAGGGTCTCGGGCGAGGGATCCGGGTCTGTTGCGTAAGGTTTAGCTGCTGTACGAGGGTTTGGCCCAAACCAAATGTCCCAAGACCCCGAGAAAAGCCACAACGCCTTGTATTCAGCACAACCAAAAACGCCCAGCCCACCAAGCCTCACTCGACCTCGGCTCCTGCACAAGCCCGGCCGGAGGCCGTAGACGTTTAGATCAGGAGGCCCGAGCAGGTTGGCTGCTTAACAGTAGAGTATAACCCACACCCTACCCCCTCCCAGTGGCCTGATTTGGGGAGGGGGCACGGTAGAATGCGTACAATGTGGCTCGCGCCCACGCGCACCGGCTCACGCGCAATCCTCAGAGCCATACCGCACTATGACTAGACCTCGTATTTGTAACCGTTGATTTAAACTTAAATGAATAACTCATCCATGATCTTGCAGCAAGAAATAATTCAAGCGTTGTTGCTAGCTCACTGATATGGCTTCCGCACATTATCTAATCTAAGACTGCTCCTAATTCACTGACCCGGCTTCGCAACTAGGGACCGAGGCCAGCTTCTCTGATTCTTCCCCAACCAAAAGTCTTCGACCGTCTTGTCTAACAGTGCTCCTGGTTCACTGACCAATTTTTCAAAAACAGCATGTTTGTGAAACTCTCAGCTGTTCAGTCGTTTGCCCTACCAAAGGTATTTTAGGTAGTTATTCCACGTTTTTGCACCATTCAGGCTAAACTCTGCGAGTGTCCGCATTGCAAGTTTTCGGCTCAGCACCCCGCAAACTAGCATATGTCTTCTCGATGTCCGGGTTGTAGCACTGCGAGAAGCCATGACTGAAGAAATGCAGGCAAATCGTAGGTGCATCGTGGTGAAGTTCCAACACATACTCCAGGTTGTTTGATCTTCGCTGCTGGAAGTCAGGTTCGCAGCTCGCAGCGGGAGATCGGCATGAGACTTTGCAGTTTTAGCGGCTGCTGGCGTGGAAAATTCGCCTTCGGACGATAGCATCAACATCAAGGGTCACTGATCAACTCGGACATCATCCAGCAAGGCTAGTAGGAAGAATAGGCAGCTGGCCGAAGGCTGCACTGCCAGAAAGCCGCCTTTGACAACAGGAACCTTTCCTGCAAAGGCTTCCTCACTTTTTCATCTGTGGCTGCTGCGGCCCTTATATCTCTTTACCACGGACATGTCGGAGGCAGAAGCATGCGTTGAAGCAGCAGCATCATATTAACCTCACAAGGCCGCCCAAAGTTTCTCGCAGCTCTTTCACTTTGGAGAAAAGTCACACATCCATGGGCTCCTGGATGACTTAAAACATTGCATTTTGCTTGGTGCTGTCGAGCAGAGATGTTGATACGATGATGCATCTCGAGGGTTGTGCTGGCAGGTTAAGGCACACGGTCATGGAAGCAGACCCATCTCGACTCATCGCAACAGAAGAATTTAAAGCAAGGCCTTTTTTGCGATTGACGCCCAAGCCGGCTTGTCGACGGTTGCGTGTTCTACTCACCAGCAGGACTTGGCCCAGTCTTACGAAGCAGCCTTACAGATGCATACGGAAGCAGAGCAATTGCGTTTTGAACGTTCGGAAGCAATCTGGATCTTGATATCGTGGGTTCAAGAGCAGCCGGCTCGGGTGACCAAGATACACAGGACCAGGCACTGTTTGCATTTGCTCTAGCTTCTAGGATCGCCGCAGCTGCTAGAGAATTCATTGAGCCGTACTCACTCAGTCATTTGGAGAGACGTTGCAAGAATCTACACTCTGATGAAATCCATTGCAAATGCCTGAACAGAGACCCTTAACGAGCTTTTGCTTGCTCGACAGCACCATTGACTGGCTGGTCGCTTCGTCACTACTGCAAGCCCGTATTCGTGCGGCGGTGAAGCAGGAAGCAGACATGTGACAGTCCGACGAATAGCGATAATGCAATTAACCTGGCAATCAAGTCATTGCTATCAGTCGTCCTCCCCGCAAGATTCGTGAATGTCTTGAATGATAATCGACAACGACAACAACAACCACTACGACTACTACCACGACCATACTACTACTACTACTACTACTACCACTACTACTACGACGACGACTGCTGATCACTACGGCTACGACTGGCACCACCACCTGTTCCGGCTAGTCTCCTTGACCGTGATCCTACTCCGCCCACTCCTAGTGTGCTAAGTCTGCTAAGTGCTTGTGGGCCTGTTTACGGCTCTTTCGGAGTTCAGCTTGGGGTTCATGCTTCAAGGTCTTCTGCTTGAAGACAAAATTCAGAAAAGGTTTTGCAACTTAGGAACTTCGCGGCTGCTGCTGTCTCGCAGCTCAGCCTTGCTCGCGTGGTTCTTAAGGATGTTGCGTGTGTTTTCAGTGTTCGCATTTAATACGTATATTATTCTTCAGGCCAGCCGGGATTTAGCGAGATCTGCTGGGATTCTGCGGATATAGCGAGA